TTAAGAAATATTTTGCCGAAGGATAACTTATGTACAAAATGCATTTTATATTGAATAAATCATTTATCAACGCTGTTTTCCATATCTTAATGGCTATGAGTTATGCAGTAAACTGACCTTGTAAAGTCAGCAGTACTTTAAAATTAATATATACACACTTGAAAAAATGATCAAAATTCGGACTAAAAGAGCTACAATTTGTTAGGACTGATGGACCGGCATTGATATTTTGATCATCTGCTTACATTTTACTGATATAAATGTTGTACTGGAGATCTATTGACGCCCTCAAGTAAAGTTCTTTTTTGAAAAAAATACATCAAAAAAGTTATAGAAAGTGTTCCGTTGTTTCGTTTGACCCGAATAATAAGCTGTTACCCAATACTGATTCAAACAAAACCGTTGATACCTGTCAAATATTGTTTATGTGTATTCAAAACGTACACAACGACCAATAATAATTAATTAAAAAATATTTTTCAAATGAGATGTAAATGAAGGATACAGATCCAGTGTGCAACATCATTCATTTCTAGACAAACCTTCATTAGGAACGACAGAGTTCAAAATAAAACCGACATAAGTTCCAATGCCATCTTTCAATTGCTTTAGGGAGTTGCAACCTTAGTATTGGCACAATTACAATATTTATAAAATATTAAATTTGTATCAAAATATATTGCATAAATCATACCAGTTCTGATGGACTGAATACTGAGTTCATAGTACTCGCCGGTATTGACTGTCAACCAGCAGTGGTACCGTCACAGTAGTGATAATGTACACGTGATTTCAACGTGAACATCTGAAGGGTGACATGTACAATAGTTTTAATTCCGAACCACACAAAGTGGTCTTATCGCATTCTCATTTATATTTTATACCCTCATATTTTTGTTGAAGATAGAGAGACCATGTCGGATATTCATAATACATATTGAAATGACTAAGTAACAGTCGTATTGAAATTCAAGTTGCTCTCTAGAAAATATTAAAAACTGTTAAAACAAACCGTATAAGGTTGTTTTTTGTTTGTTTGTTGTTTTTTTTTTTTACATTTACAGCAAATGAAAAAAACGACCTAGTAAATGTAATTATGTGTATAGAAGGGCGTAAAGAATAATATGCGATCACAAATCTGTACGCGTTTTTTTTTTTTGCACTAGGTTAACCAACAAACATAATTTGAGAAAGTTATATATATACACGTAAAGGGATTAATCAGAACGAAGACTGGTTAATATATGTATAAATGTATGAAAATATTAACGACACTACAGTATAATAAATTACAAAAAAATAGATCTAATTACATTACTCTATCCAAACATAGGAACTTAAGTGTGTAGTGTACAATTTCTTATATAAATAGAAAGATATTTCATGTTCAGTTTAAAATAATTAAATCAACCTTGAAAGTTGACCCTTTTTACATTCCAAAAAGAAATCATTTCACAATTTTTATTTCAGGTTAAGGTCTTGATTTTTAAGCATGTTTGCCCCAGGCAATTTTTTGCATGTGAACCCTTATTTCCTCTTTTTTTCACTTATGTAGCCCAAGTTGGTTGATAGTCATAATTCACAAACTAAAATTAATACACACTTTATCATCTACGTCGAGTTTGGTTTTATTGAACTTGGTTTCCTCCGTAAAATATTCAGTATGCCTTGTCAAACTCAAATAACGGACGGGTACCAGTCTAGGTTCTAGGATAATAGACAATCAGCTAAAATTGGTCAAATTCGTCGTTTAAGGGTTACAACTCTTGTAAGAAGTCATTGGATGGTAACATTCAAATAAGCGTTCTTGTATGTCATTTAACGTTAATCAATTCTGCTGTCTAACCCCTCTTTGAATAATATGAGCCAATCTGATAATTTAAGTCTTATAGTTTTAGTGCTTTTGCTGGTTACGGTTTATCACAATCTACCAATTGAAACTGTTCAAGATAATATTCAAAAATGGATTAAACACTCAAATAGCCGAGTAGCAGACTGGTCTATACTCAATCTGATGGTCTATACTGAACATATAGAAATATAAAACGTATTAATTGGAAAACATCTTTAAACAACTCAATAATTATCATGGAAGGTGTTGTACACCACACATCAAAAGGCTTACAAATTCTGTGACGATCGAAGATCTAAAAACAAGAATTGTTTCTGTTTTTAAAACTTTGGCTGAAGAAATGCCTGAATGAATCCAGTAATTTTTGGCATAAAAGAATCCATATGATATAATTATGTCAAACATATATGTATTAACACCCAAATCAATTCTGGTTCTAAAAATTGTTGACTGATCATTTAGTTACTGAGAAAAGAAATCTCATCTGGGACATTAACCTAACAATTGGAGTGTGAAATCAAGGTCATAGCTATATGACGTGTCAAACTTGTAAATCTAATCTGACCATCTGAGCCTGATGATGAAACTGAGATCAAGTTCGAGTGACAATGATGGACTGACAAGATCTCGTCATAAACAATCTCCATTCAAGATGTAGTCATCCTAGAGGAAAATGTGGAAAAACATTAGGGTTGGTTGCAAATTGTTAATGCTAATGCGGGACAAGATAAAAATAAGGAGATGTGCCGGGTATGATTGCCAATGAGACAACTTTCCACCCAAGTTCAAATGAAGAGGATGTAAGCAATAAACCCTATTTGGAGCTATTGACCCTAAAATAATTTTACGAAATTTCTGTTTTAGTTATTATCTTGAAGACTATTATAGATAAAGAGAAATTTTAAACAGCAAACATATTCTGCAAGTTAATATCTACAAATGTGTCCAAATCACTGAAATTATAAATCAAATCGTATAGAATAATTGCCCTTGAAAGACAATATTTATGCAAAAACCACAATAGAAACTTTGTGGCAAAAATGTTCAGCAACGTAAGATCTACGAATAAGTTAATTAATCCTTTATAGGAGTTATTGCCATTGAAAGATTTTTGCAGAAACTATGATAGATAAGTTTTAAATAGCAGATGTTTAGCAAAGTTGTATCTACACATAAGTCATCATGACCGAAACTGTCAATTGACCTCTTATTAGAAATTGTAGTTACCATTTTTTTTTAAATGCAGAAACTATGAAAGATGGAGAGAACCTTAAAATGGAAAAAATGTACAGCAAAGTAAGACATAAAAAGATGTCAACATGACCCAAATCGTCAATTAAACCCTTATTCAACGCAGACCACACTTGGATGTCAGAGGCTGCATTGCGGCAATTACAATTTTGTCACTATGTAGTAAACAAAGCATAGTATACAATGATCTGAATCAGCAGATTGGTTATTGTTTTGTTGTTTTTCTTGAAGTTAATTTCTTGTCGGCCTCATAATTATTTCAACATTTTAATGGATGCAACTTATTTTCGGTTTTCATGATTTTTGCACAGTCATGTCAAATATTTTTCAACCTTGGCCAAAAATATGATATGTTGAAGGCCCAACAGTAACCTTAAATTAGTTTACATATTTGTTCTTTGGTCTTTCTACTGGCTTTCAAACCACATCTCCTTATATTTGTATACAATAGTTCTACAAAAAATATCATATGTGTATACATTATGATTTTGATTTTTTGTTTTTTAGCCTCCCTCATGCAATGGCAGCACCTTTTTGGTTACTACTTATGTGTTGTGTCTAAATTTAAATTGCAACACTCTAGAGTGACTGAACAGGTTGAACAAATCCTTCTCAAGAAACAGAAAAAGAAGACACCTAGGAACAGCACCAGACAATTCAACATTCAGGCTTATAAATAAAAACTCAGATCAGGACAGTAAGTTGAGCTATCACATAAACTGCGGATAACACAAATTTTTAAAGTTATCAGGTTTTTTGGTACATTTTCTGTTCCAATTTTCACACCAGTTAGACAATATCACTTGAAAGAAGCTACACTAATTTTATTAAAACAATGATAAATATTTCATTCATAAAAGCAAAAAAAATCACCATCAATATTTATGATTGAAAAGTAAAGTACATCCTAACACGGTGCACTCATTCCTGTTTATTGTGAACTGACCCCAATTTTTTTTATCATGAACAGTCCAGTGATTATCACCCAATACACATCAAAGGAAAATGTACAAAATACTGATAAATCATATTATTTACCCTGTAAAAGGGAATAACCAGGATAATTGTTTACAGAATCTTGTAGTCCTTGCCAGCAACTCTAAAACACTGTAAGCCGATCTGATAGTAGTATGCTACCAGACACAGACATAATTATTGTGCCCTAACTATCGTTACATAATGCATGTGGGTAAATGAATAACATTGTTTTTTTATTGACTACTGCATAATAAAGATGATGATGGTGGATTGGTATTTAAGATCTATGCATATAAAGAACACAAGCTAAATAATTTAATATCATTTCTTAGCATGTCTACCTGGCGAAGGGGAGGGAACTCCTGTCTCCTTTGGATTTATTCACAGCCATATTTAGACACAGAACAATCTAAAGCTTGACATATTGTATATAAACCTGTCTATTGTTGCCTGTATTTTGGTTATTTGTTTCATTGCACTCTGTTTCATTTATAACATATACCACTCATCATTTTATTAACAAGAGGGACGAAAGATACCAGAGGGACAGTCAAACTCATAGATCGAAAGCAAACTGACAACGCCATGGCCAAAAATAAAAAGACAAACAGACAAATAATAGTATAGATGACACAACATAGAAAACTAAAGACTAAGCAACACGAACCTCACCAAGAACTGGGGTGATCTCAGGTGCTCCGGAAGGGTAAGCAGATTCTGCTCCACATGTGGCACTGTCGTGTTGCTTATGTCATTACAAATACGGTAAATAGTCTAATTCGGTAGGTCACATTCGTGAAAAGGGAAGGGTATTTTAGTTACGACATAAGGAACATATCCGATATCATCTGTGAAACGGTTATTCCATAACGGTCATGCCAGATGATTGTAATTTTTCTAGAAAATCAACAAATCCAAATATGATTTCATTTCTCAATTTATTATAAAGATATCATGATCTTATTTGAGTCTTTCTTGAACAGCTAATGTAATTTCCATTCCACATTCCTTCACTAAGTCCTAAAACAAAAGATAATAAATTAATAAGATGCTTTACTAAACATTAAACTTTTAAAAAATAAATAAAGTAACACCAAAATACAAAATTGATTGTTTCCCCACAGAAATTCATCACACACTTTTGAATTATCCATGGAAAACAAAAATTTGGAAATTCAATAGCAACATATGTACAACTTGTTTGTGGAAGATATGCATCTTCTTGCAACTATTGATAAATCAAGCTTTTTTTTGCCATAAGTTTGCATAAATGATGCCTTAAGCTTGAAAAGTCTATCATTTCTGATTTGAGTCAAACAGATTGTTTTACTATGCATATTTTTTTTCTCTCACCAACACACCCCATGTATGTTGATGCTTCTGGTTTCAGGACCAATTTTAATTACAGCTGTTATCATAATGCTAGCAAGTTAAAGGTTTGGTTGGCTTGATTGCTTTGTTTGTATAATGTTTGCTCAAGCATTGTAATTAAGATTGACATCTGAAAACAATATTTAAAGGCAGAGTTAAACTTGTATACTTTATACTTAAATTTGATTGGACACTATCAAATAATCAAATTTACCTATATACAGGTTTAACTCCACCTACTTATATTGTTTGCAGATGTCAATCTTAATTACAATGCTTGAGCAAACATTAATACAATCAAATCAAGCAAGGCAAGCAAGCCAACCAAACTCTTACTCTACATGCATTAGGAAATTGACTGTAAACTGATTTTAAGGATTACAATACCACACAAAATAAAGTTGCAGAGAGGGACTTGTAGGTGGTATTAAAAAAAAATTAAAATGAGAGATCAGGAGGGGATCCATTGTTTCTTGTCACACCTGCATTTTTCACCAGATCTTCTTCAAATTTGTATGAAGGTTTCCAACTCATCCAATCTGCAGATGAAATCAATAATCAGAAATATATTTGAAGGGGAACTTTTTATGGAAAAAAAGGGGGGGGGGGACATATATACAGATTTTAATATAACCTTCAAAGAATATTAAACCAGTATATTCCTTTAGATTACATTTTGTTCAGTATAAAACTGTCAATATGTTTTAGTTACCTCAAACAGAAGTTCCTACATATCCTTTAATAAAATAATTTATCTATTCCCTAATGAGCAAAATACTATTTTTTTCAATTAAAATTATATATTTCCTTTTTTGGAACTAATGTTATTAAGGAACTCGGTTCTGCTAAAATGAACTCTTTGTACTATATCCATTTTGAAGAAAACATCTCAAGAGTGATATTTTTCTTGCAGCTTTATTTCAACAAATGTATAGTTAAGTTTTAATGAAAAAAAATATACATTAAAAAAAATACCTTGTCTAAATCTTTAAGAACATAATCAGGTGATCTAGCAATACATTTCTGTACAAATCTTGATAATTCTAATTCTGACTGAATACTTGGACCCTGAAAGATAAAACATTTATATTATATACTTTCAAAATATACTATAGACCTTCAACTGAACTAGTAGCTTAAAAATTTTCTTTAGGTTTAACTTGTTTATCCCCTCTTTGAAAGTGTCTGTCTGATCATGAATAACCATTGATAGGTAGGGAACAAAACTCAAAACAAATAACTTGACCTGTAGAAGAGGAATCTGAAGAATAATTAAAGTATAAAACTGTCAGTATGTTTTAGTTACCTCTAAAAGTTCCTCCATATCCTTCAACGAAATTATAAGAATATTCTAATAAAAGGGTGTATTTTCTGATCTATTAAACTCCCAATATATCATAATCTGATTCTATTACTATGTAACACTTGTGTATATCTCTAAAGGGTTAAATGATCTTTTGAAGTTGATTGTGTCATTGGCAATTAGAGCACATCATAATTTTGTACATCTGAGTACTTCACAACAGGATAAGCATTTCATGTCATTTTAGAAGTATAAATAAAGTATATTGTATACTTACACAGCTACTGTTTTCCTCATCACACAAATTAACAACCATGCTATACAGACTTAAAACTTTTCCTAAGAAGTCTGGAATTGATTCAAAGTGATTATAAGGTCCTCTAGAAATGTACCTGAAAATACAAATAAAATAATTAACAACTGTTTTCAAAAGATGCTCCAATTCAAAAGAAACGGGTCAAAGACATTTTTTATCCAAGAAACAGCCTGTTCCTAAGAGTCTGGATTTACATGAAGTGATAAAGAAATTTTCCTGAAAATATATATTATTTACCACAGGTTCAAATTCTATTAGTTATGAATAGTGAGTAGTTCACATGATAAAAAAACTAAATATTTTTTTCAAGTAGTCATTTAACCAGGAAAATCCGGTCAATACAATGGACATAAGACAGATACAAACTTCATAACATAAGGCATCTGCATACAATGTATGAAGCATCCAGGTATTCTATCTTCTGAAATATAAAGCTTTATACAAATAGTTTACACTGCTGCCAAATAGTAATCCCTATGTCTCACATTCTGTGACTTTCGTCGCAGGTGAGACAGAAATCGGATCACAGAATTGAGTTTTCTCTATTACCCAACTAGAGTAGATTCTCCAATTGACTGTAAATTTAGAATAAAGGACTTTTTGTTTTTGATATTAACTTTGATACCAACTTTATCACAGTAAAATATCAGTATCACCTGATATCTAACCATGAGAAAGTCAGTATCACCTGATATCTAACCATGAGAAAGTCAGTATCAAAAACAAAAAGTCCTTTGTTATTTTTATTGACAATTATAAAAAAATGAAAATAACTATAAATAGTTATCAAAGGTACCAGGATTATAATTTAATACGCCAGACACACGTTTCGTTTACATAAGACTCATCAGTGAAACTCAGATCAAAATAGTTATAAAGCCAAACAAGTACAAAGTTGAAGAGCATTGAGGACCCAAAATTTCAAAAAGTTGTGCTAAATACGGCTAAGGTTATCTATTCCTGGGATAAGAAAATCCTTAGTTTTTCTAAAAATTCAAAGTTTTGTAACAGGAAGTTTATAAAAATGACCATATAGTTGATATTCATGTCAACACTGAAGTGCCGACTACTGGGCTGGTGATACCCTCGGGGACGAAACGTCCACCAGCAGTGGCATCGAAAATAGATGAAATAACAAACAAACTACTATATTGGGTTGAATCACTGGCTGCTATATGTCATTAAAATTTTGTCAAAGTGAGGTAAACATGGCATTCCCAAATAATTCTTGAAAACTTTTCAAACATATATAAAACAGTGCAGAATATATTGTAACATATCAGTATGTATTTTTTTTTAGATTTGTTATTGATTTAGTAGTATTGTTTGTTGTATTTGTATTTTACTTTCTGGCTTATAATGTGATAGATAACCTGTTTAAAAATCACATTTTCTGTAGTTGTAAGTTTAGTGCTCATGCTGAAGACGATCACATTCATGTTAAAGCCCCCTTTTTAAGCAGGCATATTTTTTTCAGGTTTAGGCAACATGTCTGTAGTTTAGCATATTATCAAATAGCTCATGTCCACCTCATAAATAATGATTTCAAACAGTTTAATGGTTGTAACTCAACTTTGGTCTATTTTCTTGGGCTTTTCATATTCTTGCAAGGTCATGTCATTTTTTTGCTTCAACTCGAACCAGGAATATGAAAAATTGAAGGCCACAATCCAACATGGTTACCTGTAATTGTTCACATCTTTAATCATACCACATATCCTAATTTTTATATGTTAGTCCCAAAAGAATCATTGAATGTTGTGATTGTATTTTTTGTTGTTTCAGATTGACCAGTGATGCAGTGGCAGCACCTATCCAGTTACTATTCATGTGTTGCGTCTAAAGATGAATTGTAACACTTTATAGTGACTAAACAGGTTGAACAAATTCTTCTCAAGAAGCACAAAAAGAAGAATACACTTTGAAACAGCACCAGACCATTTAACATTCCAGCTTATAGTTATAAATGAAAACTCAGATTTGGATAGTAAGGCAAGCTATAAAAAACTGCAGATATAGCTGTGAATTCGATTCAAGTTGATCTTTTCAAATACAATTTTCTAAGTTTATCAGATTTTCTGTTGCTGCTGAAATTTTATTGAAACAATAACAAGTATTTCATTCACAAAAAGACTTGTGTGTTTCTGCGAATAAAATCATGTGTGATATTATGAAGGAAAGGGAAAGTAGATCCTTACAAGATATCACTCATGCATGTTAATTGTGAACTGACCTGATAATTTCTTTATCGCAGTCTATTGATACTGACATTATCAGCGAGTACACATCAAAGGAAAAATGTCCAAATAAGGGATAAAAGTATGTGTACCCTACATCTCCATTTATTCTTATACACAGTCTATACATAAACATGAGAAAATAGTTATCATTCATAGTTTTATGTTAAATATTCCCCAATTTGATTCTGACTCTCAAACTAGTAACTGAGGTAAAATTCCTAAAGGACTGAAAAGTATTTAACAATACATAAGAGGGGAAAAGTCTTGCAGATAACACATGACCCTATGATATTGACCTTCAAGTATGTTATTGATCCCTTTGTGAAATTTCTATACTATAAAGAAAACTTACATGAGCAGTCTATAGGGTATTATTGACTGTGTAGAAGATGAACACATCTGTTTTATTATGCTCTCACTAGGAAGAGTAAGTATTATTTCTGGAGAAGAATTTTGAATAACATCTAAAACTTTGTTGTATCTTGGATCATCCTGAAATACCATTAATTTAGTTCTATTATATTACTAAATTACTAAATAGCTTCCTAAAAAGAATGGAACAGTTTCCTGCTTATGAATTCAGAAATGCTTACATATTTCTATGCAGTTTAAATATATAGCTGCGCCATGAGTGCATGATGCACCCGTTGCTTTTTCTCAATACTTCTCAATGTCATATCAGAAATTTATAAAAAAAACCTAAAGGAATGTTATTTTAATAGATATAAACCAGTCACCAAAGTTTCATGAAAACTGCTCAAAGCACTTTTGAGATATTGTCTGAAAACTGGAAATCACCCCTTTTTTATTAATACAATATAATAACTCGGAATAGTAAAATCTAAAGTTTGTAAAACTCGAAAGGGAGCTTACATCAATAGATATAAATAATTCACCAAAGTTTCATGAAAACTGCTCAAAGCATTTTTGAGTTAATGTCTGAAAACTGGAAAATCCCCCCTTTTTTATTAATAAAATCCCACAACTTGGAAACGTTAAATCTAAAATTCATAAAAATTGAAAGGGAGCTCACATCAATAGATATATACATTTCACAAAAGTTTCTTGCAAATTGGTGAAAGCGTATTTGAGTTATTGTCCGAAAACTAGAAAATCCCCCTTTTTTAACAAATAAAACCCCATAACTCGGAAACATCAAATCTAAAAATTTATAAAAATCAAAAGGGAGCTCACGTCCATAGATATAAACAATTCATCAAAGTTTCATGCTAATTGGTTAAAGCGTTTTTGAGTTATTGTCCGACATGTTGACGATGGACGGACAACAGTATACCATAATATGTCCCGTAAACGGGTGTATAAAAAATTGGCATCCAGTATATAAATATAATTACTGATATGGTATTCATAACTTAAAATTTGCAACATAAACTGAAGGAAATTGGATGAGATATCAAAGCAGTATTCTGGGACAAGAATTACATTTTTCAAGTCCACCTTCTAAAATGAGTTCCCCAAAATAAAATCTTTTGAGGTTGTAAAGAATCAATATATCAGAGTACTCACAAAAATGTTGAAAATAGTATCCTCTAAAGACTGCATGTTTTATGTGCCTGTTCCAAGTCTGGAACCTCATCATGATTAGTGGTTTTAATAATATCTAAATGTACCTTTAGGGAATATAGTGTTGATGACAGATCTTTGGTAGTCTCATTAAACCTATGTAGATTTATACAACATAACATAGTTCTCCTGAATATCATGTACCAATATTTACTGTTTGGCTTTAGATACCCATTAATAAATATAACATTTTGACAGTGTAACATAATTGTAACAAGTAATTATACTATTATTTGAACTTATTTAATTTAGAATAGTCTCTATTAAAAATCGAAAGGGAGCTCACGTCAATAGATATAAACAATTCACCAAAGTTTCATGCTAATTGGTTAAAGCGTTTTTGGGTTATTGTCCGACATATTGACGACGGACGGACAACGATATACCATAATACCTCCCATAAACGGGGGTGTAAAAAATTGGCATCCAGTATATAAATATAATTACTGATTCACTCATCTTTTCCTTGAAGTTATAATATTTTGATATGTAAATATACAAGCACCATGCCATATTTCTGTCAGATACAAATATGCTCATTGTCTAATACAATACTTACCAAATCCTGATATGCTGTGTGTGCAGTCAATATCACAACAAATTCCTTCAAAATCTGAAATAGTTTCAAACAAGGCTTTTAAGCTGTAAAAATCATGTGACAAAAAGAAAAATCACTACATGTTTTCTTTAAATTTATTTCAGCAGTCACTTGTCACTGGACCAAAAAAAGGTTGTCAAAAACAATGGACATATGCTAGACAGAAACTTCAGACCACATGATATGGAATTATCCATCTGAAATATAAAGCTTTATACAAATAGGTTATGCCGTTGCTGCTGACAGATAGGGTTCCTATGGCACAAATTCTATTAAATTCGTTGGAGAAAGAGAAAAATTAATTAACAAGATAAATGACATGCAATGTGAACTAGTGCTTCCTACAACTTGATTTTCAATTTTTTTTAATAAATACATATCGTTTGGCATGATCCTGACTCCTTTGTTATTTGTATTTGGTTGCAGTTAATTGTATGAATAACATCGAAAGATAATCCAAATGTTTCTTTTAAACAGAAACACTTTGATAATTTCAAGATGAAACCACTGATTTCCTTTAACTTTTTATGAAATATAAATTTATATTTTTTTAAGCACAACACAACAGAGAAAATCTATGTCATATTTGGGAGAAAAAAAATCTTTTGGCCTTAAAAAAACACTGTAGGTGTAATACCACCATTGATTTTCCCCTATTAGTCTTTGTTAAAGGAGTAGGTTTGATAAGGCCCTAAAATGGCCCCTAATTCTATCTGAAATTTGAAATTACGATTTATTGACCAATTTCACAAGGAATCATAGGTAATATAATGACTAGATTGGAAAAACGTTTTTTTGTTGAAAATTTATGTTTTTGTGTTCTATTCATGACGTCACAAATAGCACTCATTTTGATTTTCAGCGAAAATTCAATGAAAACGGGTAAATTTACGTTGATTTTTTGGAGAAGAAACATAGAGCGCATGCGTCGACAACAAAGATATTTAAACCTAACGTTTGTTATGACATTTTACATATCTGACTTGAATATTTTGTTTGTCAACGCCTGCGCTCTATGATTCCTAGGTCTTAATTTGGTTGAAATCCAGACGATTTTGTCCAATTTCGCAAAAATCTCTATTCTTAACCTATTTGGGATGTCAAAATCAATGCTTAAAAATAAAACTCTGGCAAAAATAGTTCTATATAACTTTCTCACATTTCTTTTCATCAACTTAAAACACATTTTATCCAGAAACACTGAACTTGATAATCGGAGCCAAATTTGGCCCTTACCGAACTTACTCCTTTGCACTTTTCAAAAAATTGTGCAGAATTTATCTTTGTTTCAAATAAAGAAATACTTGGCATGAGTAAAGTTTTATCCTGTCCAGTACTATAGACAAAATTTCACATAACAATTCATTGCATATAAGAAAATAACCATCACTGGAAGTTAACCAATCAAATTTTCACCCCTTTTTTTCCTGTGTACAAGCTATAGTAACCATGTAACCTCAACTTTCCAAAATATTCTATAGAAACACCAAATAAAAAAATTAGGGTGCTTTGAAACGCCCAAGATATATGTTTATGACTCAGAAATTTTTTACTGTCAAATTCAAGGGAATATTTTTTTTCAACCCTTTTTCGTATGCAACTGGATGTGACGTACTATGATTTGGTGGTATTACACCTGGTTTGTTTCTATTCCACTTTCTCAGAAAATCACTTAAAAATGAAATTTTAACATCGACTTGTAAAGCAAATGAGTTATGAAAATGAGGTCAAGGAGAATTGATATGAAAGACAGTTGATAAATCTGCTATCAACAAAAATGGTCTGTCAAATTTTGATGAAGGTCCTCACATAAAGGTTTGTACAACTACTCTATGACACTGTTTCCATCTGAATACCATGCCAATGTTTTGCTTTGGTGAAGAAAAAAAAACACTCACTGAGCTGTTTTTGCTTGTTTTCTGTGACAAGAATTTTGAAATCATATCTTCAACTTGGTCCCTAAGTGAAATAAAATATCAGAAAATTAACATTAACAATACAAATCAAAAATAAAATATTATTTAAAGATAAATAGAAATTTCTTCATTGTTGAAAATATGCAAAAATAAATGTAAATTAAAGAACCTAAGTGAGCGCGCTCACATACCCCACGTCCCCACATTGTCATTGGAGAAATAAAATATGTGTAAGACAAAAAAATTGTATAAGAAAAAAACATTGAATCATAATTTCCTGTCAATATGCACATCTACATAGTATGTCCTTATTATCTACAAAGTTTCATGAAATTCTGTTGTGTGGTATCAGAGGAATTGCGATGACAAACTGTTGCAGTAGTAAATTAAAGCAAATAAGTTCAAAGGGCGTAACTCCTAGAAAAAAAATTGAATCGCAATTTCCTGTCGATATGCACAACTACATAGTATGTCCTTATTATCTAAAAAGGTTTCATGAAATTCTGTTGTGTGGTATCAGAGGAGTTGCGACGACAAACTGTTGCAGTAGTACATTGAAGCAAATAAGTTCAAAGGGGCGTAACTCCTAGAAAAAAAATTGAACCGTAATTTCCTGTCGATATGCACATCTACATAGTATGTCCTTATTATCTAAAAAGGTTTCATGAAATTCTGTTGTGTGGTATCAGAGGAGTTGTGATGACAAACTGTTGCAGTAGTACATTGAAGCAAATAAGTTCAAAGGGGCGTAACTCCTAGAAAAAAAATTGAACCGTAATTTCCTGTCGATATGCACATCTACATAGTATGTCCTTATTATCTAAAAAGGTTTCATGAAATTCTGTTGTGTGGTATCAGAGGAGTTGCGATGACAAACTGTTGCAGTAGTACATTAAAGCAAATAAGTTCAAAGGGGCGTAACTCCTAGAAAAAAAATTGAATCGCAATTTCCTGTCGATATGCACAACTACATAGTATGTCCTTATTATCTAAAAAGGTTTCATGAAATTCTGTTGTGTGGTATCAGAGGAGTTGCGATGACAAACTGTTGCAGTAGTACATTAAAGCAAATAAGTTCAAAGGGGCGTAACTCCTAGAAAAAAAATTGAATCGCAATTTCCTGTCGATATGCACAACTACATAGTATGTCCTTATTATCTAAAAAGGTTTCGTGAAATTCTGTTGTGTGGTTTGAGAGGAGTTGCGATGACAAGAAACAGGACTGACGGACGGACAGACGGACGGAAAGGTCAAAAACATTATACCCTCCGCAACTCGTTGCGTGGGGTATAATAAAATGAGGTATACTAATGCTAATACAACTGCCTACCAAATATTGTTGAAGTTCCCCTTTAACTAACCTACTTTTTTTGTACACTTTTATGTCAAGAAAGTGCCTATCCCCCAAATCAGGCGTCTGTATAAATTCAGTGGTTGTTGTTGGTTGCTGTCTGTCTTATTGGATTTTTTTGTTTATTGTATGACATTAGGCTGCTGGTTTTTCTCATTTGAACTGTTTCACATTTTGTCATGTCAGGCTTTTTTATAGCTGACTATATGGAATTGGTTTTGCTCATTGTTGAAGACTGTACAGTAACCTATAGTTGCTCACCTTTATGTCCTTTGGAATCAGGTGGATAGTTTTTTTTTTTATTGGAAATCATAACACATCTCATTATTTTCATACTTATCACAAACTTTAGTATGTTTACTAAGCAAAAGTTAAAAGTCAATAGACAATAACTGAGGGACTTGGGCCAAATAACATCAACAGAAATGAGGTGTGCAGATGCTTCTTTAATCATTGATTTCTATTACTATTTCCTCTTAAATGATCAATCACAAACTTCCACAACATACAAACTTTATACAGAAATATCAGTCAAAAGATCATTATGTTGGGAACATTTTCTTGATCAGCTCCACAGCAGCACTTTGGGTATGCTTTATAAAACAAAGGCTTAAATGTTATTCACAGGTGAATAAAATGGCTTTTCATTGCACATCATAATTTTTTAGGGGTTATAATTTCTTGCACTTCCAAGAAATTAAATTATTTCACATCAAGTGGTATTGTATTACCCAATAGCATTGTTTTATCATACAATGTAAAGGTATAATAATAATATAGATAAAACCAGATTTTGCAGGATTGTAGTTTAAGATGTATAAAAGAAATTATGAAAAGAAAAGGGGGTTACTGATACAAATTTTCTAATGGTTTTAAATCCAAAAAGCCAGGATTTCAAAATAACGAAAAACAAGATGAGAACATGAGCAGAAACAGAAAAGCTTTGTGACGATCAGATACCTGTTGATACAAAGTGACAACATAGCTACTGCATACATCCATGAAGGACGATCATCAAAATTAGGGAAATGGCCTTCCAATGCCCTGCAATAAAGTAAAAAATTAAACATAATAATCAAACAGATGCAAAATTTTGAGAATATAACACACATGTACTATTATATAAAAATGAGTCATGTAACCTCTTTGATAAAAATTTGAGTCCAAAATATCAATAAATTTTATAAAGAACACACAAACATGAGCTAAATGGACATCTAAAATATATCTATGCAGCAGGCCAAATTTCTCAAACGAATGATATCTAATAAATAATGATACTTCTCTCACAACCACAACTGAGAAAAGTTATTTAAGATTTTGATAGATATATTACAACTGAAAAGAGATACATTATCTACAGATGATGAGGAAATATTACAAAAATTACCTTTTCAACCAGCTAACTACAGACACCAGATTGCTGTTACTGAAAGTTACTTGTTCTATCAGATATTTAGTTGTTGGAAGATAAACCTAAAGATACAGATTCCATAGATTATAGATTGTTTGGATCTTGTGCTGTTTTCTTCAGAAAACTAAAATATAACCACTTAGTGAAAAGTTTTTCTCAGAGGTCTATTTGATGGATAAAAATAAATTGGATGCTATATTTAGTAAACTAGGGTTGGCTCTAAATGAAAATTTTGAAAGACAAAATCAAGGCGTTTAATAACTAGTGCTTTTTTATTTGATTTTATAGGACCTCAATTCCTTAAAATTATTTGATACATGCATATTACAGTATTAACTGAAATTTGAATAAAACAGAATAAGGTTGTCTTCTAATAGAAGTCAAATAGAAATAACACTTGTGTTAAACTTTCTAATTATTTATCCAGTGAATTGGGTCATACATTCAGAATTCTTCAAGAGATCAAGGGTAACAACTATGAAATGAAAAGTAAATTTTTTTGAAAAATGACCTCAACTTGAGTATAGTAAATAAAAATTAACATTTGGTCAGATGGTACTTATATAATTGTCTTGAGACATCGCATTTTTTACATAATCAAGGGCCATAACTCTATAGGAAGGTCAAACTAATTAATATTTAATATGCTTTAGAAATCAATTATATTCTTTTAATAAAATCATCAGGCTGTATTTGTATCCAAAAAGTTCAAAGTTCTCAATCCTTCAGAGGAATCAAAAGAGCCATAACTCTTGATGGGCAAAGAAATCAACAAAAATCAATTAAAACTGTAATTAGTGGCTCCTTACATTGTGTTGAAAAGTTTATATATTTAGTCATGCATTCATTTATCTAATTATCTGAAAGAATAGATTATATGGTAGAATTAATGGAGACAGACATCTACATTTCATTGAAATAAAAATACATCATTGTATTTTTTTTTTCATTTCTAGACTTCACTTTTCCCTCTTCAGGTGCAAAGCCAGTGAATCTTTTGATTACCACACTAATATCATGATAAAGTGAGAGAAACAAAACACATTTATTTAAGTTTCACTTTTTTGAACAACACAGATGCATCTTTTCTACTGGCTTATAAGTATTTTCCTAGTGCCTTCAGTAATTAGTGCTAAATGCTTTCAAACTCACATTAAATGTTCACAAGATGAGAGTCATATGCACGAAAATCAGTATCATACATTTTTTACACTGACAAAGTATTTTGAGTCAGGCCTTAGTTCCTGTATGGATGCTTACAAAATATTCCCTTTCTGGGATTACTTACCAACAAAGAAGTCATCATAATGGGACAAGTAGTAAATATTTTATCAATATCAATAGCCTGTTTAACCTGGATCATACCCTGAAAAAGACATTACGCAATCAAACTATACTTATTCAATCTTTCAGCTTTTATTATTAACTTAAATGCATATTCGAATAGGGATACAAATCCATTTTGCTACTACAAAATGCATACAATTAAATATTACGCTAAATTGTACTGAAAGATTTATAGCAACTTTCCTTGTCATTTTCTTACTTTTCAAGCTTACCAACTGAAACAATTTGTGACTAAAATTTGACAGGCTATCTTAAATGATAAAGGTCTTTAAAATATTTCTTCTAGTAATTTCAATATCTTTTCGCAAATCTCAGTACTTGATACTTCTGAAACAGCACATCCTAATGAGAACACAACAATATAATATGGATAGAATTTTCCAGTCTTTAAGTTATTCCAGTCCTTATAGATATAATATTATGTTTCCAAATTATGTGGGATCTAAAGGTCAAATTTGAAAGATCATCACTTAGGAACATTTTGCCAAAACTAGTTATTAAGTTTACCAAACCAATTTTTTAAAGGAATATTTCTGGAACTATCCATTTTTAATAACAGTATCTTGGATGGCAAACTTAGTGAGCAGATTGTATACTAAACCAGGGTTATTCAAATATTACTCCTAAAAGTAGATTTAAGGAGTAGATGAAACTGTCAATGCTAATCAGATGCTTTGGTAGCCATCTTGGATTTAAAACATGACTAGTATACCAGATACTTAAAGAAATCAACCTAAGGACCACAAAAAACAAAGTAGGGTTCAAGTTGGAAGTAGGGTTCAAGTTGGCCAAGCTGTTTCTGAGACATTCAAAATATTGAGACTTCCAAAGCCTCAGGCAACTAACTTGAATAACAGATTCAGTTGTCAGATAAGATTTTGAAAAATACATAGACCATTTCATGAGTGGTTTTCAAATTTGCAAGTAGGCTTCAGAAATGAAAATGTGTAAAGTTTAAAGACATCTAGACAGACCGACAACAGTAAGGAAAGCTAAATAATAGTAAAAGCTCAAAATGATTTTCTAATCAATTTGAGCTAAAACATTGACATTAATGTACTGTAAATTCAGAAATTATTGCGATGTTTTTATTATTGCGAAAAATGCGACAGGGTTATAATCGCAATAATTTAAACTCGCATTTTGAAATTTTTATATGAATTGAACAGGATTTTTCTCAATATCGCAAAAATTAAAATCGCATTTTAGTCTAAAATGACAAAGTCGCAATAATAAATGCACGCAATAATTTCTGAATTTACAGTATACCTGCATCAGATAGGAAAACACATTTCTAGGAAAGACACAGCCATCTTCTAAACCTTCTCTCTGAAAAAAAAACCAAAAGTTACGTGTCAGATAATTGGTTGTTTCTGTGGACCCAGTGCTATTTAGAGCTACAAAGCTCTTATGCATGTAATAGAAATAAAAGTTTACCCCCGAAATATACTCATTTATTACTATAAGATTTCATAATCTGCACAAAATAGCAAAGACAGCACAGTAAACTCACCATTTCACCATTTATTGTTGAAAGAACTAAATCTTCATCAATCACAGGGTCTGTAATACTGTCAGTGTAAAAAAGATGTCTTGGAAGACAACAAACTGTCCTTTAAGAAAGAATAAACATATAATCAACATTTTTCTTTATCACTTTATTAACATATTTTTTGAAATAGTTTAGGCAGGTTAGTAACCATAAATGATGAATCATGTATATAGTTAATGACTGAATCAGTGGCTTTTATTGGAGTTATGTACAATCCTTTGACTCAAGAACAACAGACTGAGGTTGAGGGTAAAATGTATTACTGAAAGTGTACTTAAGTAACACATGCAAACTGACATTTTTATTTGAAAAAGGTCTAAAAAGGGGCTTTACCTATCTCATTTGGACAAAAAATCCAACCTTTGAAAAAAGTCTTTTTGCAATGGTATTATATCATCAAGCTTGCATACTAAGAAAAATTTTCAGAAATTTAGATATGTTTTTTAATTTTCATACATTACATTCATTTGGAAAGTGACATCATACCATGGATCAACTTCATTATTAGTACAATTAAATAAATGTATTTACCTTTGCCAAAAAATTGTATTGATACAAGAAATTGGGTGAGGTTTTATGAATACAAAATGTGGAACTAAAACTTTAGACCTAAGGAACCTGTCGAATTCATAACCTTTAATGAGTACTACTTTTTATGCTGCATTTTATGCAAATAAAATATATTTGAGGCATTTACCTGAAAAAAGTTTTAACAACAGCCTCTAATTTCCAGGAACTACTGTGGTTCTGGGCTAACAATTTTAGTTGAGAAATTAACCAAGGTATCCTATCTTCAGCTGAATCATTATAAGAAGGTAATAACCAGCATAATTCCTACAGAAGACAATATATTAAATATAAGATAAATCTTCACAAATTATGTAAACAAACGAAACTAGAATTAGGTTATCTAGTGATCACAGATATGCACACCAGCAGCAAAACTCTTGAATGGTAGACGTGTCATGAAATAGAAGTTCCTTCATAATATAAGTTCCAAGCGGAAAAAATATTCCGTAATATTATTTCAACTCCAACAAATATTACAGTATTTGTTCCTTACAGAATAAAGGGTATAGAATATTTGTTCCAATATGAACAGATATTATGGCATTGTTTATAACAGTTTCCATGGGAATTTCTATTAGGCAGAACAAATATATGTTGACACTGTCAAAATCGAACTTGACAAGTATATTATGGTCTATGATTTTGTGTTTAAATTGAAACAGAATCTTTTTGGTGAAACATTAACTATCATGCAGACACTATAAACCCAATTTGTTAAGAAAATTAAGGGGCATAACTCTTGATTGGTAAATGACAAATAGGTCAATTTCACACTACAACTGTAGTTTATTGCATGACATGTTAACATTCAATAAGATTCTATAAAGTGGTTCTTTAAATATAATCAGGAAAGAAAATAAAATCCTAATTTGAAGATAATAAAGGGACATTACTCTTGTGCAAAATGGGATCACAACAATGTGTTAAAATCTTAAAAGATGTTTGAAGTGGTAATTGATTATCTAGAAAATCCAAATTTTTAAGACAAAGGGCATAACTCTTGAACAGTGAATGTCAAAAACGAGATTGACTACCATAGTTCTCATATGAAATAATTTTCTGTAATAATTTTCAAGTGGAGAGATGGTGGAAATTCTCAGAATGATTTACTGACCTGGGCATTTTAGAAATTACCTATCTTTATACATTTCTGATAGTGAGAAAAATCTGTGAAAGTTTGGTCAATCAGTTTTCAAGGAGTTTGGAATTAACAAACTAATATAACCAGAAATGGTGATGTCCATGTTTTGGTCTAGAAACATAAAAAGTCATTCTGGCAAGAATTGTACAAGCGAGAGCTCTAACAAGACCAGACGGGCGAACGTTTGGTATTTCTATGTCCCCCCCTAAACACATTGCCCGTGTGAACAAAAAAGCAGATGTACAGCACAACTCTATCTTCTGTAAAATAATCGGTGTAAGCTCGTTAAAATTCTGTAAATGTGTTTTCAAGAGTTGCTGATTAAAGGTGTGACACAGATGACAAAAGACAACAAAATCCATACGTGAAGCCCCAGCTTGATGTTATCAGGCAACACAACTGAACCACTTTTATTTGGATTTAACCATGTTAATCAGGCATTGTTTTAGTGAAATTTTTAAGAAAATACATCATATTACCAGAAAATCCCTGAAAATTTAATCCTAAGAAAAAAAGGAGCTGAATTTATGTTGACATGTGTTTTTTCTCTTAAATCTTTTGTAAACAAAACAAATAATGAACCAAACCTTATACATAATCTATTTTGGGAACCATCCTTATAAAATTATGAATCTAAATATAGACTTGTCAATACCTGAAGATACTGTATAATGATCACTTTACTGTTTGTCATCTTACTTCTTTTTAAACATAAAGGACAGTACATGTCATTTTTACTATAGGATCTGAAATAAATAAAACTTAAATCTTAAGAATCAAATAAAAACTTAAAAAGTGCAACAGTGACTTCTAGACGACATTCCTTTGTTTTATTTCTGTTTTATTAGCCTATCAGCACATTTTCCACTTTTAATTATATTTCTTTTTTGAACAACAGTAAAATCATTTTGAAACATGACAGACTTGTCCACAATTATTTGTTGTATGTAGTCAATCAAAAAATTTTGGACTTTTATCTTGCATATTTTGTATAAATAAACTTTAACAAAAAAGCTATATCTCACCTTTTTGTTACATTGATAGTAAAATGCAAATGTTGAAATTAAAATAGCAATACTGTAACATGTAAATAATGCAAAAAATTTAGTCAATGAAACATGACTGAAGGCACAGGGCCAAATAATCTCCATGGAAATGAGATGTGTCAATGCTTATACAACTGCATACCAAATATCATTGACCTATCATAAGTGGTTCCCCTCAAACTGACCTAATCACAAACTTTACATGTAAATTGCAAAAGTTTCAAAGTCAATAGACCATGACTTGAAGGGGCTGGGCAAAATAATCTCCATGGAAATGAGATATGCAGATGCTTATACAATTGCATTTCAAATATCATTGATTTATCATTGTGGTTCCACTTTAACTGACCTTTAAATGACCTACTCACATACTTTTAAGAAATTGTTTGACACCACCGTCCGAAACAGCATATCTAAGTCTCACTTTTTGACTCTGTCAAGGCCTGACAAAAAAGATAATCCCTGAGAAATAAATGTCATAACTTACATATCTCCAAAAATATTATCAATATTTAGTTCAATGTGAGTTGTGATGTTAAGTTACATATTCACAGTTCTTTTATGTGGGTGGGTTGGGAAAATAAACTCGGAACCCTAATACCAATGGATTATACTTATAATGTTACAGGTAAGTCCACCATTCTTTACCAAATGTCAAGCTAAGAGAAGTCTGAATACTTTAGATAATAAGCAGTAACTACAGGGCAAAAAGTTTGTGTGGTCAAATTTTACCTCATATCTGAATTGATTACAGACTCCAATATGATGGAACAGGTATATCTGTAGTCATAGTTACAGCCACCATTTTCCTTTGTTGTTACCATGTAATGTTTGTATATACAGTCATGTAGATATTCCTGTCTGAAAAATGGCTTGAAATTATAAAAGCAAACCTGTGAACAGATATTTAAGACACAATATGTTTCCCTTGGAAAGAGAACTGTAAAGTTTACTAAAGAAAAACAATAAAATAAAGCAGTTATGATAATGTGATTGCTGTCGAAAATATGTATATATCATTTTGGGTGTTGTGGTATTAAAGGTTTTTTGCCATAGTATCAAAGTTCTGAATGGAATGTATTACAATACTGTACAATAATAGTAATATTTACCTTTCAAAATCTGATAACATATCTTGATTAGGACAAACTGCCAACTCCATATTCAACCAGACTTCAAAGGTTAACTATATTTGAGACATCAAATAATAAATAAACAAGTAAAAAGTTATATAGCTATAAAATTCTACTGATCAACACAGATTAAAAGCAAAAATGACTTTAAATAGGCATTTTGACTTGGATGGAGAGTTGTCTCATTGGCACTCATACCACATCTTCTTATATCTATTAACATCATAGTGCGCAGTAATTTCATCCTATCATCTTGAAACCATCAATTTTACTCTTTTGAGACTATTCACATCTATGGATTGGTAAATACAATATTCAGAATTGAACAGGAATCTATATGATAGCAAGCTTATATATAGTATGTAGTAATATATAAATGTAAAATATAAAATAACCATTCATTGTCTCGTAATATAAAATTTATTTATAGTACAAGGCTTTGAAACAGGTAAAATGCGAGGCTTTGCCGTATGGTATTACAGTGACATTACAACTGAATTTTCTGAGGATTCCTGATTTTCATTTTTCAGTAGAACTAACATAATTTTTGCAGGATTGAAGAATTTTATTTTTTTGCAATTTCAGGGTAAAAAAAACCAGCTCCTAGCATAGCTCAACCTTTGTGAGCCTTGTTTAAGATTGATGACTGTATGAGACCTTAAAATGTCTTAAGTGTTTTTCATTTAGGAATTAATTGGCCTTACTGGTTTTTTTTTTTAATTATCTTTAGTTAGGAATATATCACTTCTCTATGTAATTGCCCAAGTATATAATTAAGGTCTAAAGACCTTTTGAACTATATGAATGAAACAGCCACCCAACAACTAAATGAAAACCTTTTTAGACATTTAGAGGTTAACATAAAGTTACCAACCTTAAACAAAAAGACATTATTTTACAGCTAAATATTCTCTTTTTTTCAAATTCTTGTACCTGAAAAACAAGTGCTAATAACTATGTATATTTATATTGATTTATATAATGCTAAAGAACTAATTTGGTTCAATTACTGGGATAATCACTGAAGAACCTTGATTCTGGAACACCAATAGGGCCTTTAAAATATTGCTAATAGCAACAATAGTTGTGTCATTGGCTATCATTCCATATCTCCTTTTTCATATTAAATTAAAGTGTTTAGGGTTACACAGTAAAGAATAAACACTAAAAGGAATTAATATACCTATAGTGTTCCAACATTTTAAGTGTTTCAGTTTTTTAAGTTATAGGAAAAACAATTTCTTCTAAACTAAAGAGGAGTAAGAATCAAGATAAGATTGTGTCCATTTCTCTCCCTTTTTTTTAAGCACATTGTTATAATTATAGCATTATCTTAACGATAATAACACACCTGCATATTATGTTTTATCTCCTTGAACTGTTTCGATCTATAAATGTACAATGCTGTCAGTAATTCACCAGACGCCATCTGCTGTAATGGTCTTTGCTTTATTTCTGGTATCAATCTTTGACAAAGAAACATAAACTGCAAAAAAAAAACCAAGAATGCATGAATTGTCATGGTAAGCATAGCCCACTCATAATAAACTGTTGACACAGAGAAATGTCTCGCCTGTTGACAGAAAATTCAGAATAAACAGCTGTGCCACGAGCGCATGATACGCCCGTCGTCTTGTGTGTGAGGTTTTATGCAATAATCATAAATCGTTTCTGAGATACGGTGCGACATGTGAAAACCCCGCTTTTTTTATAAAAAAATCAATAACTCTAAAATAAAATTTTGAATCATCACCAAAAAGTATACAGATCTTTAGATTAATAAGTGTGTAAAGTTTTAAGCAATAATCATAAATCGTTTTTGAGATACGGCGCGACATGTGAACCCCCCCCTTTTTTTTTACAAAAAAACTCAATAACTCTAAAATAAAATTTTGAATCATCACCAAAAAGTATACAGATCTTAAGATTAATATAACTGAGAAGTGTGTAAAGTTTTAAGCAAGATACGGCCCAACATGTGAAAAAAACACCCACCTGTTTTAGTTACAAAGCAGTGCATTCATTAATACCCGGTACCCGGTACTTTTACCCGCCTACGGAAGCGTCTGGTACCGGCAGAAAAAATAAAAATACAAAAAAAAAATGTGTAAAATTCTTTTGAAGATCGTTCAAATCTAATTTCTTTCATTCCTTGACAATCTCCGTTCTACGCCGTTCATGTGTATGTTTATAGGTGTCTTCGTCGAGGTCCGCGTTAAAGTATAGATCTATCTTCTGCCAATTTAGGCACACCTCCAAAGTAGGAGAAGTGATAATTACAAACCATGTGTCTGTATCTGTATCGTAAGAGCGCTTTAAAATGCGACGATTTAGCAGTATATTTTCAAGCGGCAAATTGTTGATGAATTTAAACAACAACCGCAATATTATGTCTAATAAAAGGAAAGCAGCTTGTATCACAGATTATTTTATGAATAAAAGGTTTAATAAAGGTGAACATTCTATGAAATTCAGAAAAATCGTTAATCGTATCAAATCAGTTCGTTTCCCGTTGGACGTTGTCACTGATCTCCGTTTTCACGATATGTGTTCTATGTTGTGATTGAATTTTTTAGTGTAAGACATCGTGAAACATTTTACAATCTGAACTAACATAACTGTTACGTTTACAAAATATAACATCTGACGAGATTTAAGACTTCTAAAATTAAAAAAAAAGACAGCTAAGAAGAAGTGAATTTTTTTTTTTTTTTACTTACTATAGTCAAGAATCCTATGATTAATTTGCCCCCCCCCCCCCCCCCCCCATTTCACAATCACCCCTTTTTATGAATATTTAAGTTAAGTGAAAGTTGAATACATGTTGTTTTTTTCGGACAAGAACAACCATCACAACACTTAGCATATATCAAAAACGTTTGTTTGTTGTTTTGCATGAGAGCATGTTTATTGTTTATTTTGTTTAATTGTTTGCATGACACTGTTAAATTACTTACACAAACAATTGACACAGTTATGATTATAACAAAGCAATAAAAAAAAAGTTACAACAAGTTTTATTATCAATTTTTTTTAATAATATACTATGTAACTTATGAAATTTCATTCACAAAATTGAACAAATGCAAAACATTTAATAAAAGTATAAAAACAAACAAAACATTTAAACAACATTTCACATGAAACCCCTGCGTTATAGGTCATACCATGGAAGTATTATATTGACAATATAATACTTCCATGGTCATACATATTTTATAACTGATTACAAAATAATTATAAGCAATGTATTTTCAGATGATTACTCTAGCATGTCTAGAAAAAAAACAATTCAATGTTAACTTACCCAAAATTGAAGCAAATATTACAGACTTTACCCTTTTTTTTTAAGCAAAAAATTAAGGCTGAAATCCCTAAAATCCATGAGCTTACGGGGGGCTTTGCCCCCTTGGTCCCCCTACCAGGGCTAGCCCTGGACCCACTGGGGGCCTTAAGCGGCCCCCAGACCCCTTGCCGTTTAAGTTTGGTTCCCCCTATAATCTCAAAGGTACCTCCAGTCTAAAAAAATAATGAAACCCCTGACAAAGTCCTGTAACTCAAAAAGTTTTAATCTTATTTTCACCAAAAAGTATACAGATCGTTTGACCATCATAAGAAACAACTATGTTAAGTTTCATGAAATTTGGATAAGTCGTTCTCAAGTTACAGTGCAACATGTGAACGCCGGACATTTGTATACCATAATACGTCCCGTCAAAATTTTGACGGGCGTATAAAGAGACAATCTGATGAACAGCAACATTGATAATTAATTCAAAGTTCCTGGATCATGACATACAGGGGCAGGGCCTCCAAACAGTCATTTAACTGATATGTACTGATAGTAATGCAACTTTATAGAAAATATCATTATCTATAATCACAAGTAGTTCCTAACTGACTGCGTATTGAGGGTGTTTATTTATTCCATATTAGCTAGAGGTATAGGGGGAGGGTTGAGATCTCACAAAACATGTTCAACCCTGCTGCATTTTTGTGCCTGTCCCAAGTCAGGAACCTTTGGCCTTTGTTTGTCTTGTATGTTTTCTAATTTTGGTTCATTTATATGTTTCGGAGTTTAGTGTGACGTCCACTAGCTGAACTAGTATACATTATTGTTTAGGGGCCACTTGAAGCCCGCCTCAGGGTGTGTGATTTTCTCACTGTGTTGAAGACCCATTGGTGGCCTTGGACTGTTTTCTGCCCTTTGGCTGGGTTGTTGTCTCTTTGACGCATTCCCCTTTCCCATTCTCAATTTTATTTAGCAAAAAACTATGTTTCGCCTTCTGTCCAAAACAGCCAATATAATTGCTATTCTCTTAAGAGTGGGGGTCTTATAAACAAGTGGCTCATAAGAGCCCAAAAATTCACTTAAGGGTAATAACTCGTATACCGATTGTATTGCTGACCATTTTTGCTGTTTTCAGTTTCTACCAATCTATTTAATAGATAAAAACTAAAACATATGTAAATAAACTGTTGACCGAAAGGAATGTCTTGCCTGTCGGCATAAAATTCTGAAAAAGACAATCTGATGGACAGCAACATGGTTTATTAATTCAGTTACTGGACCATTATCTAGTGAGCAGTGCCTGAAAATAATCGTCAAACTGATAAGTACTGATAGTAATGCAAGTTTAAACAAAATATCATTGACCTATCACAAGTAGTTCTTATCAAACTGACTTAACATTGAAAATTGCTAATTAATTCAAAGTCACTGGACCATACCGTAATCGGGCTTGTATAGTTTGCACTGGTACATAGTCTGCACCCCCTTCTCCCCACGAAATTTCCGGTAAAAAAACTTTTTGTAACTGTTAGAAAAGGTCTAATGAAACTCCAGTAATTTTACATCGTGTGTGGTCGTTTGCGGTATTTTCTTTTAAAAACCTATTTTCCATCACCAAACAGAAGCTGAAACTGCTTGTAAATGGTTCTAAAACACTTCACGCTGGTTAAAATAAGTCTAAATCACACAAAAAACAATATAGAAACTTGTGTATGTTTAAACCGGAAGTTTGAAAAGCACGTGTAAAAGATGAAAAAACCCGGTGAGAGTAGAAATCCGTACATAATAGATATCACTATAATACGACTTTGAAAGTAAAGCGATTCCCTCCTTATGTAAAACAGTGTTTAATATATCTATCACATTCATGTTTGAAGGGTCTTAAGCTAATACAAAACATATTTGTCAATAGGAAACACCAAAACGGAACGAATAATAACCGATTACGTTTTGTAGTTTACACATCGTAAGCTGGTTTACGGTTGTCTTTTTTTACTCTTTTTGTACGATTTCATTCATGCAGATACCAGTTTATATTTAGCAATGCATTGAAAAGAAACGAGAATTTTGTAATGAAGCATTTAATTTTTAAATTTATCAGTATTAATTTGATATTGAATAAAAATAACTTATTAATATGGATTGGGTAAAATTATTGGTTTGAAAAATGATAAGAGCGCCCTCTACAATGTCAATAATTAACATGGCGGAACGTAAACAAACCACATCGCGAAATTGAAATTTTCTCTCTTATTTCTTGCTTATTGTACTCTATAGTCCGCACCCCTGCTGTCAGGGTCAATTTTGGAGAATAAAACCGCGGACTATACAAGCCTTTTAACGGTAACCTAGGGGACAGGGCCTCAAAATAGTTGTCAAACTGATATGAACTGATAGTAATGCAACTTCATACAAAATATCAATGATCTATCACAATTAGATCCTATCAAACTAACTTAAGCAGAAAACTTAACATTGAAAATTGCTAATTAATTCAAAGTCACTGGACCATGACCTAGGGTACACGGCCTCGAAATAGTCGTCAAAGTGATATGTACCAATGGAAATGCAACTTTATATCAAATGATCTATCACAAGTAGTTCCTATCAAAATAACTTTTGTTGACGCCGTCGCCTGAAAAGCAATCCCTATGTCTCCCTCACCGTGATTTTCGCAGGCGAGACAAAAATCATCATTTAAGGGCAATAACTACTATAAGAGATCATCAAATGGTTTCAGTCATACTGGCATACTTGAAGATCTTGTATTGATGATAATTTTTGAATTTTTCAGTTTCTAACCATCTATTATAGTTTTCAAGATAATGGACAAAACAGGAAAATTAGTCAAAATTGTCATTACAGGGGAATAACTACAACAATAAGTCGTTCAATTGTTTGGTCATAACAACATTTTCAAGGTTGTATAGCTGATCAGTAGCACAGCTCAACCTATCTATTATAATTTTTCAAGATAATGGGAAAAACTATTTAATTAGTAAAAAAATCGTCAATTTAGGGCAACATCTCCTAAAAGGAGTTATCCAATGGTTTCAGTCATATTGGCATTTTTGTAGCTCATGTAATGCTGATCATTTTTGCTGTTGACAGTTTCTAGCTTATCTATTATAGTTTTCAAGATAATTGGGCCAGGTGAGGTAAAAATTACAAAATGGATGAATTTATAAGATCACATTTCAGCATTTATTGAGTATAGTAAGACTAAGTTGAAACATTTTCAGTCTTACAAGTTCTTTACAATATGCAAAATGAGAAACAGGAAAATTTCTAATTTGTTTTTCACCTCATACATTACTTAGATAACTAAATGTCCATGTATTTATAGTATCTGTGATCCTGAGCTTTGACCTAGTGATCTCAAAATTACAAGAGTTCTCTCTCTACTGAGAAAACATAGACCATGAAAGTAAAATTTATATTTGATGCTGGATTCAAAAGATGGTACATTGTATCAGGAAACCAAAAATTACAAAGCATTACAGAGTATCATGATCAGACAGAATGCAGTATGTCTTGCAACTGTCCTGCACAGTTTTGGTTAACATTTCATATACAGATCAATTTATAAAAGAAATGATTTTGTAGATGAAAACAAAAGTGGTAGTCCGGTAAAAAACACTTCAGTACAATCTAAACACACTGTAATAAGGTTTTTAAACATGTTTTAATCCACTCCTTGATATCTATATAAGTTAACATGTTACTACAAACCTTTTGGATTAGAATATTTGGAAATATTCTGTTGTAATCCTCCTCTAACAAACAAGAGTTATCCACAACATTAAACACACAGAATAAATAAGATGACATTAACCTACAAAAAATATAATAAATTACTACTACAGGACAATAATTTATATCACTTCTGAGAAAATACTCTGGGGTTTCATTATCTTGAAAGGGAACTTGTAGCTTTAAGCAATATGTAGGAAGTATTTGCTTATATATAAATTCAGTTTAGAAGAGTACAAGGACTGTCCCTCAATGAAAGGCCTATAACTTTTTATCTGTATGAGTTATTCCTCGTTTGCAGTTTTTCACTGGAATAAAAAATGTGAAAATCTCGTAGAATTTTGGAACAAAATAAAAACATTTCAATATACTGATATGGACATTATACTTCCATGACTTCATACTAGATCTAGACAATAACAGACAATAACATATATTATAACTGGAATCATTCTTTCACAAACTATCATACCTCTATTACTTTTGATTTATCTAATTGCCTAACGTATGCATAAAGTATATGCAAATCAAGATCCAGTTTTTTATATGGACCTTCCTTACTTTCCAAGATCGTGTCCACTTAAAAACATCATTCCTCAATGCCATAATATTATTCAAAACTTGACCTTTCTAGTTCTAGGTAGAAGTAAATATATGTGTTCATGGTCCTTTGTTAATAACCAGCAAGTGCCAACTAGTGAAACATCGAAGTGATGACTAAAATATATATATATACATATGCATAAAAAAGACTTGTACCTTAGACCAAATATCATCTGCTCTGCTGTCTGAAGAGGAAGACAGGTCCATATTTTTTCTGTGAAATACTGTTTTTCTTTGCAGTTACTGCTTATACAATGCAAAAATTCTACCAAACCAAAAATTTGGCTTTTCATTGAAATGAAAGTCAGCAGTGTTGATAGGCCAGCTATGTGATGAGATTCCATATTATTGATCTGAAAGATGATTTTAATTAGATATACCAAAGGAGGAATTATTTTACAAAAAGTCAGAGCTATTATTAAAGAGTGTTTCCTAAAACAATAAGTCAAATCAAGAAAAAGTCAAATAAAAGTCCATCAATTGGCTCTTACAAGTATTTGCTCCTACCATAGTTTTCTATTCTGGAATTTAGATGACAGAGTTGGAAATCGTGAGGTAACTGATACTGCACTACTGGTTAGTTGTCTAAATAGATTAAAGTTGAATTTCTGCAATGGACATGAACATTTGCAAATCTGTTTTAATATATTATACCTGATATGTTACTAGTCTTATTATTACTATAAACAAAGTTTGATGAAGAGTTGTAAATTCTCCCAACATATCCACTAATTGAACTGCCCAGAACAGGTCTGGTTGATCCACAACCAAACATGCTTCACTGACTTTACAGAACAGATTAAGTATACCATTTACTATCTATAAAAAGAGGTAAACAAATCTTTTAAAAAAACTAATTTCATGTTTCTGATCATTTATAAGTATTGACAATGTCATGATATAAACTTTAAAGACTTGTGACTTTAAAATCTGAAGCTGACTTTAGGTACATACTTTTGCTTGATACATCTCATAAAAGCAAAAAATAAACAGTTAAATTCTAAAAGCCAGGCTTCAGCCAGATGAAATGTAGTCACAGAAGAAGGTCTCTTATTTAGCATTATTTTGGCCTGTAAAACACACAGAATTACATTTTGGAACTTCATGAAAAAAAATAGGGTAAGGTTTCACTACCAACTCTAAAATCTAGTTGTTAGGAGGCAAGTGGCTAAGTGGGGTATATGCCAATCAATACCTAATTGTCTAACCATAATCAACATAAAAAATTAATGTTTGAACGATACATTTCAGACAATTTGCATGGTAAAAGATAAATACAATTTTTCAGCACCAAACTACCCTCATCAATGCAAAATAAAAAAATAAATATAGAAAGTGTAAATGGGACACAGATGATGCCCCTACTAGCATATAACGAAATAAAGGAGAATAACATGAGAATGGTAAAAGTGACGCCATCCAAATCCGAAACTTGATCTGTGTTTTGTGGTAATAAGCATTGCGTATCAGTTTCATAGCATTTGGTTACAGCAAACTAAAGTTAGAGAATAGAAACCAATTTTGGGAAGTACATACCGACGGACATACGGACATATGGTGTAAGCAGGGGCATAAAAATATATTAAACAACATTCTTTTCTTTATCCAAGATTTAATGATCTGATTTTTACTCACCTTAAAATGAAGTGGGCTTAGTTTAGTGTTCAGGTTTAATGAAAGTAAATTTCTGTTACAAATTGGTTCCTCAGGATTAGTAAGTAGCACATTTATCTTTTCTTTAAGTACAGATATCATTTCTGGCACTGAAATAAACAGTTTTTTCTTTCAAAAGTTCAAAATTGTAATATAAGTAAATCCCAAAGACTTGTCTCTGAAAATGAACCAAGAAGCTATGTAGAATAATCTTAAGACTAAGATATATACAAATAAATATAAAGTACAAATAAGCTTTAATTGCTTGCTTGAACAAAATCTTTCCATTTATTTTATGAAAAAAATTATTAAAAACCATGCTGCTCACTTGAATATAAATCATTTCAATCATTTTGTATTAAAATTTGTTTTAAAATATCACAAAAAAAATATTGTCGCTTGAAGTAGAAATTTCTTTGGCCCCTGAAAAATCAAATTTTAGAGATAAAAATAGAAATAGAAACTTTTGCTCACTTGCCCCTCATTTTCAACAGGAGTCAGAAGAACTAGGAATTAATATGGTGCTGTATTACCTATACTTCAATACTCTTTTGAAATCACCTGCAGAATAAGTGTGCTTAAAAAACAAAAATATAGCATTTTTTATGTTATTCAAATAAGCTGAGCAGCCAACCAATCATCTACCCATCCGCTATACATCATGACATATACATGTATATGGTAATTTTCTCTGTGACAAAAATTTATTAACATCCCTTGCTTTACAATGCTAATTCTTACAATGTTTCTGCCATTGTTTATTGATAATTTTATCTATCATCTGTTTTAACCTGTGATCAAACTGTTCCATTTTTGTCATTGTCATTTCTACATCATCATCTTCATCGTCATCTATCTCCATAAAAACACCTGAAGAATATTCAATAAAATTTGATATTGCTACTGTAAATTCAGAAATTATTGCGTGCATTTATTATTGCAAATTTTGAGGAATGGACAAAAATGTGAGATTATTTATTGCGATTTCAAGAAAATCTGCGTGTTTATGTAGGTATCAGATATCAGAATGCGAGTTCTTATTATTGCGATACTCCCCCAGTTGCATTTATAATAAAAACCTCACAATAATTTCTGAATTTTTATGGTGTATTTTTTCTTTGATCTTTTTTACTGATAATTTTTCATATCATGCTACTCGCTCAAGATAGAAAATTATCGCTAGAAACTAAGAAAGCACTTGTAAACATCAACGTAAATAAATGTAAAAGATTGTAAATATTCTTTCAGATATAGTAATATATTGGATATACCACAAGTAAAAACTACACAGTTTGGTAAGAAAAGTTTTAAATTTGCAGCTGCTACTCTGTGGAACAGCCTAACTGACCATTTCAGGACTGAAAACAGTTTTTCTCAATTTAAGAGCCTTATACAGTCTTGGAATGGTTCAAAATGTTGTTGTTCTGCTTGTAGATAAGCTTTTTCATATTTTAGAAGTTGCTCTAACATGTTATTATGCCTTAAATTTTTGCATGTGTGCTATATTTTATCTGTGCTTAATTTTAGTTGTGCTTAAATTTTAGTTGTGCTTCAGCTTTGGCTTTAGATATGTATTTTAGTAGTGCTTTGCATGTATTTCAATATGCCTGTGCTGTTATATATCCTGTCTGCATGTTGTGTTTGTGTTACCTTATATTCGGTAAAAAGCTCTTAAGAGCTTATGTTTGTATTGTTATATGTTAACCGAATCAAAATAAAACTTTCGTATTCGTATTCGTATTTTAAACAAACCTAAACACAAACATTAACTTGTAAACTATGTAAAAGTTACAAAGTCAATGAACCATAATTAGGCGGTGGGGTTATATAATCCCCATGGAAAAGAAACTTGCAAATGCCAATACATTTGCATATCAAATATCATTGACTTAACATAAGAGGTTCATCTTAAACTGAACTAATCACAAACTAATACATGTAAACTAAGCAAAATTTTCAGTCAATAGACCATGACTGAGGAGTAGGGACCAAATATTCTCCATGGAAATAAAATATGCTAATGCTTATACAACTGCATACCAATTATCATTGACCTACCTCTAGTGGTTCACCATGAACAGACTAATACATTGTGGACGCCCCTGCTGCCGGAAACAGCATACCTATGTCTCACTTTTTTACTCCATCAAGGTGAGACAATAAAAACGGGGTTAAGATCATATAGGAATCTGATATAAACTCAGTTGTGTCTCAATCGGTCTTCAACAGTGATATATGCTTTTCTTACCACAATATATGATGTCAGTTGTGTCTCAATTGGTTCCCCTTAAACTGACCTAATCACAAACTAATATATGAAAACTAAGCAAAAGTTTCAAAGTCAATAGACCATGAATGAGGGGGCGGGGCTAAATAATCTCCATGGAAATGAGATATGCCAATGCTTATACAACTGCATACAAAATATCATTGACCTACCACTAGTGGTTCCCCATAAACTGACCTAATCACAAACTAATACATGTAAACTAAGCAAAGTTTCAAAGTCAATAGACCTTGACTGAGGAGGCGGGGCCAAATAATCTCCATGGTAATGAGATGTGCCAATGCTAATACAACTGCATACCAAATATCATTGACCTACCACTAGTGGTTCACCATGAACAGACTAATACATTGTGGACGCCCCTGCTGCCGGAAACAGCATACCTATGTCTCACTTTTTTACTCCATCAAGGTGAGACAATAAAAACGGGGTTAAGATCATATAGGAATCTGATATAAACTCAGTTGTGTCTCAATCGGTCTTCAACAGTGATATATGCTTTTCTTACCACAATATATGATGTCAGTTGTGTCTCAATTGGTTCCCCTTAAACTGACCTAATCACAAACTAATATATGAAAACTAAGCAAAAGTTTCAAAGTCAATAGACCATGAATGAGGGGGCGGGGCTAAATAATCTCCATGGAAATGAGATATGCCAATGCTTATACAACTGCATACAAAATATCATTGACCTACCACTAGTGGTTCCCCATAAACTGACCTAATCACAAACTAATACATGTAAACTAAGCAAAGTTTCAAAGTCAATAGACCTTGACTGAGGAGGCGGGGCCAAATAATCTCCATGGTAATGAGATGTGCCAATGCTAATACAACTGCATACCAAATATCATTGACCTACCACTAGTGGTTCACCATGAACAGACTAATACATTGTGGACGCCCCTGCTGCCGGAAACAGCATACCTATGTCTCACTTTTTTACTCCATCAAGGTGAGACAATAAAAACGGGGTTAAGATCATATAGGAATCTGATATAAACTCAGTTGTGTCTCAATCGGTCTTCAACAGTGATATATGCTTTTCTTACCACAATATATGATGTCAGTTGTGTCTCAATTGGTCTTCAACAGTGATATGTGCTTTTCTTATCAAAATATTTGATGTATTTCACAAAAATTTGATATTTTTCGTCATTTCTAAATACTGCAATGATTAGTTGCATTAGTACGCTGTCCAATTACTCATAAAAAAAAAAATTTTCACAAGTTCCTGAACCATGAAAATGAGGTCAAAGATAATGAACATATGCCAGACAGAAACTTAAGAACACATGGCATCTGTAAATATTAGGGATGTCAACTCTGTGAAGAATTACTAATCGAGTACTCGTTGGTTTTATTGAGCAATACTCAAGTACTCGCTCGGTAATATCTACAACACGAAAAACACAAAAAGACGTATTTTACATTCTGTGGTATGTTGTTCAACGGACAAAAAAAAACCCATCTACATAAGTATCTGGTAGAAAGAATTACACACCATAATTAATAGCTCATTACCTTCAAGTACTAATTGAGTGCAAAACAATAATCTAATCATTATAATTTAATGAACACCTATTTAAAAATTATACCAAGGAAAAACCATATCAAACAATTGTTTGGTAATCGTTAAGAAAACACATTCAATGTTTACAAAGGCATAAGGATTAGACGTTTAACTATTCACTGAGGGTCACAAGAGGATGCAACAAATTTATTTCATTTGAAAATGTTTTCTTGTCAACTATTATTGGGCACAGTCTTTTTTGGAACTTTGTAAATTAGTCTTGCAGACGAAAATATTTGCTCTGACGGTACCGATGTGACGGAATGGCTAAGACATGTTTAGTTTAAAGTGGTAGCCTAGGTATAGCCCATGTTTTTTTCGGCGGCATTTTAAATGACAATTTAGCGCAAGCATTCGAAACATAATGTATTTTATTTACTAGTATGTTTAATCAGTGATGCCTATTTAATTTTCCAAAAGAGGTTCTCAAGAAGATTAATTTTGTATCGTTTTGGTATTCGATAATCTGTACAACCGAACGATACTTGAATACTCGAGTACTGGTTGACATCCCTAGTAAATATATATGTAGTATCAATATCATCTAACTTATGAAATATAAAGATTGATGCCAAGAGATAAAGTCAACTGGATTAGTTAACACCTTATGCCTCCAACATTTGTAGCAGAATGACAAAAAAACCTTTCAAAAGGGTGTATACAAATCTGTTTTTAACAAAAAATAAATGAAATAATCATTTCAATACTTTTCTCAAAATGTATTTTGACATTTTAAAAAGAACAGGAAACAATCTTGTAAAACATAAAATCCTCAATACCTTGTAACAAGTTTGTTGCTTCCCTCTTACAATCACTTTCGTAAGTCTTGTACATATTAGGTGGAATTTTCTCTACCCTTTCAAAAAAAAAATGTTATCATTGAAGAACAGACATGAATGATGCAACTGAATAGAATATTGTAAAAATACAAACAAAACAGTAAATTGTTTAGCATTATGATCGTGAACAGTATAAATCTGAGTTTGATCACTGTTCACTTAACTCGTTTACTTTTGTTTTTTTCTAGTTTTATTTTGTCTGTATTTTGGTAGGTTTAAGTTGATTTTTTTTAACAAGAATTTACTTCAAAAACCTTGTATTATGAAGTAGATTCAGTTTTCTAAAAAAGAAATATTTTCCCATCTAAAGCATTGTTTAGTTTTTGTGTGTGTCTTTCATTAAAACCATAACCTAACAATGTCAAAACATTACATGCTGTTTAGTTTTAATATTTTCTCTTTTAAGCATTAAACTAAGTGTGCAAAGTATTTATATTCCATCTCTCTATCATCATAGTAATACCATGAAAAACAAGCCTTTTATCACATTCCATGGATTAAATTTACAGTAGATCCATTTTAATGCCTCTTGTTTTTTTTTTTGTTTTTTTTTACAACCCTACACAAATGTACATTCTAACACTGCTTTAAAATTCACTATAGAGACCCCCAAAACTCTTTGATAAACCCTATCATAATATCTGATAAAGTAAGCTTCACAGATTAAATGTTGTGCAAGCTGATTTGATGACAAATCAATCAACTTCAGTATATTACAAGCTTTCTGTATACATACTTTCGGAGAGCTTCTATAAAAATCATTCTGGCATCTGGAATATCTGGTAGCTAAAAATATATCACAAAAAGTCATTAATTCTTTCCTATGTTTAAAAAATGTGTGACTAGCAAATGTAAAATATTAATATTTCACCATTTTTACTTTAAATAGCTCATGAATCATATAGTTGAGGATCATTGGTTGACAACTTTCTGTGTTACATTCCCGTCAAGTTTGATTTACATTAGACACACAGTTTTTAAAACAATTTCAAACTTGATTCATTCATACTTTTAATTTCATTGTTCAATAATAAAAGAAGAGAGTTCCAATGTCCCCCGCGTCAGTGATTTTCCTGCCTTTATTTAAGGTCCGAATATCGGCCCCATTCCCAATCAGAAAATACTTAAAATTTTTCCCAATTAAACCTGTAAAATTCCCAATTCAATCAAGTTGTAGCGGAAAGGTAATTGATAATTTTATTGCTCGTATGATTTGGTTCAAAATATAGGTTGTTGTACTGTTCCGGTGTAATAATGTTGAATATAGACAGGTAACTAGCATATTTCGACCGTAAACCAGTTTTAATAATGGGTAAGCTTAGTTCAGCATTTGGATGACGTCTGGTGGTTAACGGTAAGAATATGGAATGATATGAAGTGATGATGCTGTGTTATTATCTGAATAACATTGTAAATACATGCCTACATGAAAAACTAAAAGGTTTTCATTATTTTCTCACACGTAAATGTTTTTTGACAGACAATGTCATACTGAGCAAAGATTTGCCAGTTTGGTTTATTTTTTTTTTTTTGCTGTGAATTGAGCATGCCCAAACAAACATTTAACAACATGTCCTCTCATTATTCAAAATATTATGTTCGCAAATAAAAGAAAGGCAAAGATGCCACTGATTGTAAAAAACTTTTTGAGCTTTAAAAAATCATCCAAAATTAGTACTGAAGATACTTCAGGGACTGATATATTTTGAATGAAAATGTTTCTACTTTTACGGATGTAGAACAGGATGAAGCCGTGGTTGTGGCGGATAAAGGCACATAAGCAATCACCACAAACCCAAGTACTAACACTAAACACTTTGTTTCTACCCAAACATCTGAGCATAATTCACTTGAAAAAAACTCTACTCATTTACAAAGAGAGACTGACCGTCAATCCCACTCTGAGTGCGACCATAATCAGTGACAGTTGTCGACTCTAGCTCAGAACTAAGCACTGAAAACATTATACCATGCCATATAAGTGTCGGTTAGAGAAATCTTACTGACAAGAAAACTTGCAATAAATCCCAGGGTTGTATGACTGAGTTGATATGTTTGAAAATTGGAATTTTAAAATAATAAATAACATGTACAAATTGTGACTTGGATGGAGAGTTGTCTCATTGGCACTCATACCACATCTTCTTATATCTACATCCTTAAAATATGTTGAAACACAATGATTTATTTTTTCCCAATTCATACGTTATACGACACATTTTTCCCAATTGCCTAGGGCCCAGGCCCCATTTGAAAAAGGGTAGGAAAATCCCTGCGCGTTGCACATATTTTATATTTCCAAGGGGCATAACTCTTTTAAAAAAAGTTGATCGTCCACCATTATAGAACTTGTCCGAGATATTGCTGATATTAACCTATAGTATAAGTTTTATAAAAATCTGGCAAGAATTGCACCTGTGAGAGCGGTAACAAGACCGGACAAAAGGACGGTGTTTCCATGTCCCTCGCAACACATTACGTGGGGGACAAAAAGTTTTCTCAAACATTTACATATATATACATTAAGCTATAAACTTACTGGTCTTGGTTTCAATAATGCAGGAATAAATTTTCCAATAAAGTAGGACTTCCTAAAAATGCTGAAAATAAAGTGATTTTATATGTATTAATAATTTTCTTGTACTTCAATATCAGCCAGCAAAAATCTATGGTTGCAATTTGATTTTAACAATCATGAACGTTTGCAATTTGGTTTAACAATCATGAGCAACATTTTGGTTCGGCTCATTTGATAGATAAAGTGATGCCATGTATGTTCAAAGTATTCCAAATTACACAAAGCATCAACTTGATGATATGACATATTTAAAGTTGTCCAATGAAACAAAAACAATGTTTTACTAGAATTCATATTCAATACAATATTCTTTAATAAATCTATTCGGATTAAATAACAATAAAGTAATAAGAAGATAAACAAATTAAAGAACATTAGTGAGCGCGCTCACATACCCCACGTCCCCACATTGTCACTGGAGAAATAAAATAACTGTAAGAAAAAAAAATTGTATAAGAAAAAAAAATTGAATCATAATTTCCTGTCGATATGCACATCTACATAGTATTTCCTTATTATCTACAAAGTTTCATGAAATTCTGTTGTGTTGTTTCAGGGGAGTTGCGATGACAAACTGTTGCAGAGGTATATTGAAGCAAATAAGTTCAAAGGGGCGTAACTTCTAGAAAAAAAATTGAATCGTAATTTCCTGTCGATATGCACATCTACATAGTATGTCCTTATTATCTGAAAAGGTTTCATGAAATTCTATTGTGTGGTTTGAGAGGAGTTGCGATGACAAAAGGTTGCAGTAGTATATTGGGCAAATAAGTTCAAAGGGGCGTAACTCCTGGGAAAAAAATGAATCGTAATTTCCTGTCAATATGCACATCTACGTAGTATGTCCTTCTTATCTACAAAGTTTCATGAAATTTTGTTGTGTGGTTTCAGAGGAGTTGAGATGACAAACTGTTGCAGTAGTACATTAAAGTAAATAAGTTCAAAGGGGCGTAACTCCTAGAAAAAAAATTGAATCATAATTTCCTGTCGATATGCACATCTACCTAGTATGTCCTTATTATCTACAAAGTTTCATGAAATTCTGTTGTGTGGTTTCAGAGGAGTTGCGATGACAAACTGTTGCAGAGGTATATTGAAGCAAATAAGTTCAAAGGGGTGTAACTCCTAGAAAAAAAATTGAATCGTAATTTCCTGTCGATATGCACATCTACGTAGTATGTCCTTATTATCTGAAAAGGTTTCATGAAATTCTATTGTGTGGTTTGAGAGGAGTTGCGATGACAAAAGGTTGCAGTAGTATATTGGGCAAATAAGTTCAAAGGGGCGTAACTCCTGGAAAAAAAATTGAATCGTAATTTCCTGTCGATTTGCACATCTACATAGTATGTCCTTATTATCTACAAAGTTTCATGAAATTTTGTTGTGTGGTTTCAGAGGAGTTGAGATGACAAACTGTTGCAGTAGTACATTTAAGTAAATAAGTTCAAAGGGGGGTAACTCCTAGAAAAAAAATTGAATCGTAATTTCCTGTCGATATGCACAACTACATAGTATGTCCTTATTATCTAAAAATGTTTCGTGAAATTCTGTTGTGTGGAAAGAGAGGAGTTGCGATGACTAGAAACAGGACTGACGGACGGACGGACTGACAGACGGACAGACAGACGGACGGACAGACGGATGGACGGGTCAAAAACATTATACCCTCCGCAACTCGTTGCGTGGGGTATAATAACATCAATAACATCATTGCACAGATGCAGACAACATTTCCAGATATATTCAATACCATTCTTGATTCAGGTGACACATTACCACTGATATAATAGTAATCTATACTAGAAAACTTGCTGTTATCTTTATCAATCAAATATAGTAATAAAGAGATGTTTGGTGCAATGTCAATTTCATATATCACATCTCTTTTTCACAATCTAGAGCTCTTTCAGAGATGGAAAATAAGTTTCAGTTTTGTATTTTCATTGTAATAAACATGTAGCAATTTTAAGCTGCAGTATAAAAACAATATAAGCCAATGTCAGAAAAATATCAACTTTTTTGTATTCAGCATGACACTGTTGAAGGGTTCTGTAAACAACGCCCTTCCCCAGTTTCTAAGCTTCATTGAAAAAAAGTCGATATTTTTCTGACATTGACCTAATAATATGCATTTTAAAAGTTCTTTCAGAGGTATATCTAAAAATTTGGTGTTGCAGTTGTTTGTTTTCCAGCTCATAAAATGTTCCCAGAAAACTGAATTTGCAATACATCTAAGGTGTTCAAATACAATCCAGTTATCTCTTTTAAAAATATTAGCCTCAAAAATATTTCAAATAGGATAAGAAACCACTTAAAATATCCTGCTTTGCTATGTTAAACACTATCATTCAGTTGAAATAAATTATCAATCCTACACCATAAAGGTTTTTACTGATTCCAAATCAAATAATACATTGCTGTGGCTCTCTTATACATTTCACAGACATAAAATAGTAAAATGAATATGATTTTCATATCTCACAAGCCAAACAATCTTAAATGGATAGACAGCGGTTCTTGTCTAGAAGCAATTTTCACTTACCTACTTGGTGTGCTTAGTGCTTGGATAATTGGGAAAAAAGACATCAAATTCAGTATCTTTGCAGGTACTGACCTACTTAATATTTTCAATTATTGCATATAAAATCAAATGCATTAACGAATAACTGAGTTCATAGTGAAAATTGAGAAACTACTTCTTGGCAAGAACCTCTCAAATGGTGCATTATGGAACAAGAAAATATTTTTTCCTTATTTTGCCTCATAACCTCATCTCCGCAATATAAATTTAAGCACATTTACAGTTCAAAATGGCAACAACATTATGGATTATGTATGTCATCCTATAATTAAGGCAATACAAAACAAATAATGAATTATACCTGGCTTCCATCACTGCTGATGGCATTTTGTTATTGGTTTCAAATCCTGCCAATGCTTTCTGAACATCTTCTTCTATCTGATTCTGAAATTTAAAAAGATAGAAAATTGATCAATAAAATTTATACTTAAATAAGGCTTATTGAGTACAAAATATTTGTACATCTTCTAACATAAAAAATTGGAACTGAGAGCTAATGATCACAAATGATACTCCCACTATAAGACCTTAGGCAGGAAAACAACTGCTCTAAACTGCTCTTCCTAGTCAAATAAGATCAGAGTCAAACAAACTTTGCTACAAACAGGTTTTGAACTCATTACTTAAATGAATTTACAAACAATTATTGACCTATCAGAAAATCCAAAATCAAGCCTAACCACTGATATGTAAAAACGAGGTCAATGCCATGGTCTAATGAACATATCATTTTTAAATGTATTGTTGAGTTCATGCATAGTTGCTAAGAAGTTGACATAAAAGCAAAAAAAAAATAAACTTATCACAGAGATGTCTCGCCTTTTTGTAATTTTCATAATGCAAATGTTGAAATTAAAATAGCAATACTTTAACATGTAAGTTATGCAAATATTTAAAGTCGAAGAACCATGACTGAAGGTACATGGCTAAACAATCTCCATGGAAATGAGATGTGACAATGGTAATACAACTGCATACCAAAATACCATTGACTTATTATAAGTCGTTCCTTTTAAACAAACCTAAACACAAACATTAACTTGTAAACCATGCAAATGCCAACTAATATGCATACCAAATATCATTGACTTAACATTAGCAGTTCATCTTAAACTGATCTAATCACAAACTAATACATGTAAACTAAGCAAAAGTTTCAAAGTCAATAGACCATGACTGAAGGGGCGGGCCAAATATTCTCCATGGAAATGAGATGTGCTAATGCTTATACGACTGAATCCCAATTAACATTGGCCTACCACTAATGGTTCCCCTTGAACTGACCTAATCACAAACTAATACATGTACAAATTTTCAAAGTCAATAGACCATGACTAGGGGGGCGGAACCAAATAATCTCCATGGAAATGAGATATGCCAATGCTTATACAACTGCATACCAAATATCACTGACCTACCACTAGTGATTCCCATACACTGACCTAATCACAAACTAATACATGTTAACTAAGCAAAAGTTTCATAGTCAATAGACCATGACTGAGGGGGCAGGGCCAAATAATCTCCATGGGAATAAGATGTGCCAATGCTAATACAAATGCATACCAAATATCATTGACCTACCACTTGTGGTTCACCATAAACTAGACCTAATCACAAACTAATACATTGTTGACGCCACCGATGCCGGAAACAGCATACCTGTTTCTCGCTTTTTGACTCCATCAAGGTGAGACAAAAATGGAATATGGAATCTGTCCTACTAGAAAATGAAATCCCACTTTCATTTAAAAGTTGCTGATAAAAAATAGATACCAATTCTGCTGCAAACATCACATTGATTCAGAAAAAAACTTAATGTTCGAAGTTTGGATACCCAAAATGCAACAAAGCATTGGGAAATGGAAAACTTATGAAGTCCATATGTTTTTTTCAACAACCTACCTTTGTACAAAATTCATTATATCCTGTATAAAGCCTTACCTTTGAAGAAGATGATCCACTTGTTGTGTCAAACATTCCAACTTGTTCTAATGGTTCCTTAAAGGAAAGTGTAAAATAAACTTCACATTATATTTAAGCAAAACATATAAAATCGTAAATCAACAATAGATTAGGTTCCTATCTTTGGAATTAAACAACAAATTTCAAAACATTACAACAATTTAAGTTTAAAGTAAAGTTCAAACTTTTTAAATTTTTTATGTGACCTTCTTTATCAAGTTTTTTAAAGTCTTTTGACAACTAAAATCTAAAGCATAGTTAAAAAACAAAATATACCTTCAGATCAGCTAATCTAGTCTTTCCAAGGACAATGTAATCTGATAGTAGCTCTTTACACTTTGAAGGTATAAATGGTGGTCTCAAAATATGAACCTTTAAACAAGATGGCTGATCATATGGTACCAGATCTGTCAACACCTTCATCAAGCATGTAAATGTCTTCTTTGAATTTGCTATGGACCTTTGGCTGTCACCAAACAAATTCTGAAAAATGGAAAATATATATTTAACCTGATTATATACATCATATGGCAGATCCGAGAATTCTGTGAAATAAATTATATCAATCAAAACATAGTTTTAAAGATGTGCAAAAATGCAATTCAATTGTAATTATGAAAGACCTTCATGATGTTCCTGTTCAAAGTGATGGCAATTTTAAGTACACTGCAGATGGGTCAATATCCCTAATGGACCTTGAGATGAGGAACACAGATTTATGACTCTCATTAAAAAATTAGTCCGCCATACAATTGTGGAAGCTGTGATTTTAAAAATTGACATAAATGAACTAGGACTGTTGTTTTATAGAGCTGATGTGATGTGAAAAAAAGTATAAAAAAATAAACCTGAACAAATAATTACAAAGGACATATTTTTTAATGATTTTTATGGTTAGAATTTTGGGATTATTTCCTGAGGAGAGTGACATTTTTCACTATCTTTCGTTGGGCACTTGACGGGAAAACGAATCACACTTGCCACCCCGAAAATCGCACCACATATGTGCAAGTGTCTCAGCTTCAAAATGAGCCATCATACATATCCAAGTTTACAATATGGCCTGAGCAACAGAAGAAAACGTTAACATTACCGCCTATGGAGAATCTATTACGCATATTGCCCCAATTTGTGGCCTTGAATTTCAAAGGTGATGGAGTGTTTCATGGCTCAGTGACCACAATTTAGGATGATAGCTGCTGAAATCAAGGTCAGTTACACTCTTTTAGTGCTAATTAATCAAAACAATACAAAATGGCTTCCCAAACTTTTGATTTTTATCAAAAATATACTAATGTTTTGTTGTTAAATAGCATTGATGCAGAAAATGGGTCATGTAAAATCTGGACAGGGGCCATTCAGAGGAAAAGAAATTATATTTTAGGGATGCTAAATGTGGCTTATCCAAATGGAAAAAGGACATTATGAATGTTGCACGCTTGGCAAAAATGTTACAGTTAAAAACAATTGACATTGATAGAAATTCAGATGCCTCGCACCTCTGCCATAATGCCTTGTGTGTTAATGCTGACCATATAATTTTTGAGCCCCATGATTTAAATAACCACCGTAAGGTCTGTGTAACTTCACAAAAATGCACCACTCATGAACTGCATGGCACAACATATCCTAACTGCATGTTGCATCTTAAACTGTGGTTTGTTCTATTTTTAATTCTGTCTCCGAGGTGACATATTGCACACTTCACTATGCATGAATCATTTACTCAAATACAAGTTTCTTACACTGCTAAAAAAATGAAAATGGGATAAAAGCCCTCCCTCTCACCCTCCAAGACACTGAAACAAACATGCATGTTTATATTAACATGAGGTAACACATTTTACGGCTTGTTTCCCGAGTGTTTACCTTTTATTGACATAGGAGGGGGGGTAAAAAATGAAAATGGGATAAAAGCCCTCCCTCTCACCCTCCAAGACACTGAAACAAACATGCATGTTTATATTAACATGAGGTAACACATTTTACGGCTTGTTTCCCGAGTGTTTACCTTTTATTGACATAGGAGGGGGAGTAACTCTTGTTGTTTACAAATGTATTTTTAACTGTGTCAGGAAATTGGGACATTCAAACCACATGAACCAACTAAAGTAAGCATGCTTTAAAAGAAATCTTCAATATAAAAACCAAACCAATCAAACAAAAACTACAAAATTATAAAATTAGGATATCAAAATTAAAATAAAAAGCTAACAGAACTGAAATAGTTGCAAATGGAAGTAAAAATGGACATGATTTAATTTAATTTTATTTCCTTGTATGTTGTATCAATGAATGTGTGCATGATAGGAAAAATAAATTTGTATGCAATACATGTGTGTTAATTTGCATGTATGATGCTGTGTGTGGTATGTTTAAATGTCAATACGCTCTGTAAGATGTGTACAACTCTAAATTATGATGTCATAATGCAATGATGTCACAAAAACAATGACGTCACAATGTACTCTTCACCAAAGAAATAACCCATTTTTCCCACTTTCAACACACATACAAAAAAAACCTCTAAAACTCCTATTCCTTGATGGATTTTGAAAACAAGACTAGTTTTGGAAAGGTCTGTGACTAATCTTTACAGTAATGAACATATATTAGAGATATTTATTCAATAAAAAAAAAATATAATAGAAAACAAGACTATCAGGGTAGAAAAATTTCTTAAATCTGATAGTTTTTAAGTGAAAAACACTATATTTACATGATTTATCAACAAAAAATGAGGATTTGTAGAAAGTCTGTAAGGTAGAAGAGGCTTATGAATTGCAGTTATACCAATAAAAGTTAAAACAAATGTTTAAAATGTAAATTTATAACATATGCTTATTGTGTTTTTTTCTTCCTTAAAAAGGATATTGAACAGTTATAAACATTGCTACCTAAAAGTATTAAAATGAGCTTATTTTATTTCAGATATGGCTAAAACTTCACAGAATTGTTCAGAAATGTGTACTAAAGGGATACAAATTGCAATATAAGTGGAATCTGACATTAGCTGATCAACTTATTCTGATTCTTTTTTTCAAATGATATAAAAATCATGTATACATATCTTAAAATATGCTTTTGATTTAAAACTATGGTATTAAGCAGCATGACTTACCAGAAACCAGTCTTGATATGACTGAAAGACATTTGATCCTTCATAACAACATTGCCGACTAATCAAAAATACTTTCAAAATATGGTCTGACCTGGATTCTTCAAAGGCTATCTTCAATAGTTCAAGCAAGACATCTGAAATATTTATGCACTTCACATCTTCCTTGAAACCAAGTGATACTACAACAGGCTTAAGTAACTTCATTTACTAGAATGATACAGCTAAAATTTCTTACACATATGATGATGATGAATGGATGTTTAATGTTCAGCGGCAGATTAAATGCATATTCAGGACAAGAAAATGTTAATGTAATACGAATATCAACCCTACTTTGTACTAGACCAACACACTCAGCTGGATTTTTAATGTGCTAGTTCAAATGGAACAATCCGCAAGAAGACATTTCAGCCTACCTTAACAAAACTCTTCAGACTCCAAGCAGACTAGTCTTTGCACTTATTCCTTAATGCTGCATGCTAAGGGAGGAAGCACCAAATACCTATTTTAAAGTCTTTTGTTTTGACCCGGCTGGGGTTCTAACCCATAACCTCCCACACTTGAGGTGAACACACTACCACAAGACCACTGAGGTGATTTCTTACACATATCCAATCTTGGCTAAAAGACAAGGACCATAACTAGTTAATTTCAAAGACTTCATTCATTTTGCTTTTTATTGATGAGGGTCTTATCACATTCTATAATGGATACATCCAGTTAAAAAAATCATGCAGCCATGAGGCATATGTATAATTAATTTTGAGTTTTGTTTCTTTATGATTTCTCATCATTTAACACATGGATTGCATCTAATTTTCAATACATGAAAATATATTCATTCATGCGATATAGTAAACTTCAGGTATTGTATGATTTCCCTAACTATTCAAAATGGCCTTTATCAGGTATAAGGAGTTTAAGCAGTGATCTTCTAGGAGATTTCTCAATACAAGTTCTTTTTATTTTCCGTACCTTCAGTAAGACTTCTTGACTTCGGGGTACAGATAATGAATACAGACCAGAATGCACAGTAATGATACCAATTTACGTCTGATGAATCTAATGTCTGCTTCAGCATCTCCAACACATCTACTATATCCAAAAGCAATAGAATCTGCAATCAATTTTTAGTATACAGAACAGGAAATTTGACACAATAAATGAATTGACACATTTACAAAATGTATATACTACCAGATATAAATTTTATAGGTTCTTTAGAAGCATGAAGAAAAGCAAGGTTACAAAACTTTTTCTCTCTGATTTCATAGCAACTACAAATGGCTTTACAGATATTGTTTTTGAAATTCTAAATTAAATAAGAAGAAGCATATGCGTACATAGGACACCTTGCCCTGCTCAGACCATCACATTTGCATGTCAAGTGAACCATGAAATCTTATTGAAAACTGTAATTTGGCAGTTCACACTTCCTAATGAACATATGTATTAAGTTTCGAGTTGAAGTGACCAAAAATTCATGGTAAATTACCTTTAACCTGCATTAAACCAAACATTTAATCAAAATCTGGGTGCAAATTCGTATTTGGCATATATTTTTAGAAAGTTCACATCAAAATGAACATAAGAACTTAGTTTTCAGTTGATGTGACCAAGATTGCATAGTAAACTAACTTAAACCAAAATATTTAACCTGATATAGAACAGACAAACACACAGCTGACGGTAGTCACACACACCAGAAAACATAACGCTCCCCCTCCCCGTTTACTATCATAAACAGGGCTTAAAATTTAGTGTTCAACTGCTGCTTTTTTTCCCCAGAAAAATAACTTATAGTCAAGAAACTTGTACAGAACATAAAGATGAACAGTGATCGACATATGAGCTGCCTCGTATAGAAATCAGCCTTATGCAAATGAATATCAATACATCTGTTAACTTAATTTTGGGTGGAAAACATCTATATGCAAAGTCTGTAAGTGTCTGAAATATGAGTTGATAAAAGAACCCTACAAAACAGACCAAAATTCATCTATTATTTCGTCTTTGAATTAATCAAACTTTTATTCAGGTACATGTATATGTGCACTTGCATAAGGTCGATTTCTATCCGACACAGCTCATATGTCTATTTGTCAATTAGCTCACAATGGGAGATGGGAACTAGACTTATGTACACATATTTAAACACTAAAAATATTTCTTTTAACATGTTTATTTACTTTATTTATGTGTGTATATATTTTGTTTATTTTTATCTATTTTTATTTATTTTATTTTTTAACATTTTATTTTATTTATTATGTTATCACATCTAATATTTTGTATGCATGTTTTTATCGCCTCTGTAACCTTTGTACTTGCATGGTTTTATGAGAATAAACTATCTATCTATCAAAAGTATACTTATTTCAGACAAATTTATCTCTATACATTTTAACTTGAAAAGTAAACCAAATTTTTACAGATAAGTTTTTTCTCTGTACAACTAAATTGGTTATGAGGGCAATGGCAAGTTGTTCTTCCTGTGCTACCGACCATTACCAGAGGCATTGCTGAGTGCAAAATTCATTATAGTTACATTGTAGTCCCTTTTCCCTATTGCTTCATCACAAAGAACAAAAGAAAACAAAACTTAAAATTATCTTTTAACATGACTGTCTTCTATTATTGGATTTATTTCCCATTATAGCAAAATAGCAAATGTCAACTTTGTTACCCTACTTTAAGGGTCTTAGTTTATTTGTGCTCTTTAATTTTATATGCATTTGCCTTTCAAAATCTTTTGATTTGGAAAAATATCTGAACTGATCTTAAAAAACAGAAATGTGCTTTATTTGCAATAAAAGTAGTCTCTTATTTTTTTTCTCACCTACATACTTTTACATATTCATAAATTATTCACCTCTTTACACAACTCGGTAAACTGCACTGGTAGTTTGGCAAATTTCCAATTCTTCTGAAGGTAAAATGATTCAGCAACTACAAAAGAAGTATAAACCCAATCAATTCAGATCATAAATTATATAACTTATTAAACATGTTCAAACAAAATATGAAAATGTACCATTTTAGAATCTAGAAGATCTTAGATACCAATCTCACTATTTTAAACCAAAAGATTGTGACTGTTTGATAAAAACATCCTAAATAATGGATATCTAATTAAGAGCATGAAGAGTGTGGTCTTATTTTCATCCTGGTGTATGTACCTTAAATTAAGTAATCCATATACTCTTGAGGTGCAATATCAGTAAGGTTTTTTCTTATCTTTGAAGTATATGTAACAAGTTAATTTTCAAATAGTGTTTCTCAAAAAAATATGTTTCTCTACAAAAAAAGTTAGTTACAATGAAATTTTTCATATTTTCTGAAACACTGTTTTAAATTACATAAAGTGATTATAATTCGAATAAAAATGTTAGACTCTTAAGCATTCTGAGTTGACCTTCTTATGTGACAAGTAGGAGCAGTAACATGCTACAATAACAATCTATCTCAAAATCTGTGATTCAAAAAGCAGAGAAAGTGTTCTCTTAAACTAGGTGGCACAGTAATACATACCAGAAATAGTGGGATTGTAGGTAAAAATCTGTTGTAATAAGAAACATCCATATTTCTTCAACGATACTTCTGAGCAAACCATGAGATCATATGGAACCAATAAAATAAGAGGTGAATTTTTGTCATTTTTCATGTTGTCTAGATGTTCTGAAAGTATACAACACTTTCTTACTATAGTTCAAAATTAAAAAAAAAATTTGGTGACCTTGATAAACAATAAACATAGAATCATGAAGCACATGAAAAATAAGTGAGATGATACTGAGACTGATGTTTATTTTGGGTTTTGCCATGCCTTCCCATTTAGTCATAACAGTTGTTAAATGATTTGGTGCATCAAATTTATCTACAGAATGGGTTAATACTATCTTGCTTCCACAATTGATTACTTTTCCCTTTGCACTTGCAGAATTTCTAGCGAGAAGTTTCATATATAAGGTCAGTGAATACAGAAAGCTGTCGGCAGATTATCAGTCAGGAAGACAATAATTTAATACTGAATAGCAGTACATTTCTGAAGATTGGGATAAAATAAAGGATTTTCTCATAAAAAAAGTCCATGATCAAGTGTTTTATAGTAAATTTTGGCCATTCAAGTATATAAAAGATTCCTGTATTCTTATTTTTTGTTAAATTTGATCATATAACAGAACTAAATGTAAACTAATCAAATGTTTAATAATATAATCTAAGAATACATATTTGTTAAATAACTTACTGCATATTGTCTGTTTTAAAACTGCTGTACAGACCTACAGCAAAGAAGGACAATTTAAAATATAAACATTGGACAAACGGGACACATGATGAAAATATACATAATAAAACATTCCCAAAATTCACTGCAGAATAACCACATTACAAAGGAAAAGAACGTTCACTGGTGTTCTTTATCTTTACAGTAAATGGGACTGGTTATTCCAATTCTGGAAATTATAAAGAAGATAATGCTACAAAATGTTCAGTGTAGTTCAATATTCACTGCTGCCCTTTGTTTTCCTTATTACTACTGATGTATACTTATGAGGCCAGTATTTTCAGTAACAAATATGTACAGTTAATAAATATGTAAATTGAACAAACTGTAAAATGTTCAGCAAACATATATCAGGCCACTGGATTTCTCTTTTGCCTATCATTTAAAGCTATGTTGTTACTTTTAAATATCACTTTGGTAAACTTGTGTTGTTCTGCTCCCATCTCACTTAGGTTTGCCCATCATCTATTTTTTCTCTCTCGAAAAGTAAAGAACAGTATTGTAATGTTTTTATTACAAAATTTTATCAACTAGAAATAACCTTTTTCACAGAATGATCTGTTTCTGACTTTTCTGGAAAACTATAGTTTACTACCATACTTAAGACACCTGAAATAAAACAAACAGGTTTGTTTTCACATATGCAGTACAGATATTTCTATAACATTTAATATCTCTATTAACGATATTTTACATTTCACATATTTTTCATAACATAACATAAATGAAGAACAATTTGTATTCATAAAATATCTGAAATATTTAAACTAGTTCTGTTTAAAACCTCATTTCAAAGTTTTAAGCCACTTTCATAAAGGTGGTAACTAACTAATCATTGATTTTGACCAATATTATGGGCATACATAATCCTGGCAATTTTTTTTTTGAAGTTCCATCTTGATTCTACACTTTTTTCAAACTAATATCTTTTGAAAGACAATCGCTGAATAATGAAATCTAACACACTGCATGCTTCAAATATTTTCAATAGTTAAGATCTTGATGTATTTTGTTAAAATAACATTGTTATATCACGTCTGCATCAAACTACCTCAAACCTAAAAAAAAACCCCAGATACTTGTCCTGCATCAGAATGAAATGATGGACCAATAAATGCTAACACCAAAAGCATATATGCCCACCTGGTTGATGCAAGCAAGCAATAAGTAATCCAACATAACAAGTGGTCTCATAGTAAACACTAAATGTTATACAATACCATTAAAATGTTTTCTTTCTCTTTTAGTCTCTCCAGAGTTCAGAATTTCTTCTGCAAAAGCAGAAATGAATTTGGAATCTGTCTGTTTGCTGAAAAACAAAACCAAACATCTAATTGAAATCATTTTTTATAGTTTACAACTCTAAAAATTCCTCTTGATTCTAATACACACTTGAGTACACCATAACAAACAAGGCTTACCTGTCAGGTTTTTTTTAATTTTTTTTTTAAATTGTTATTTTGTTTGTCCTATTACTACTATTAGTCTCTATATTTAAAGTAGTCAACAAAATGAATGCATTTACCCAACAAACAAAATGAAAGGACTTGCCAGCATTCACTATGAGGTAAAATAACATTGTAAATAATTTTATTTTTATTTTGAGAGAGTAAACAACCACTTCCTATATAATCTTACAAGTTTAAATTGTTTGGAGAACATTAGAAAGTCTCTAAAAAAACTAGGTCCTGAATTCAGATATCTGACACCCCCACCCCCCCCCCCCCCCTCCAATTTTCTTTATTGTATTACAATTAGATAGCAAAAATTAACACTACTAGATTATGCATTTTTATTTTATCCTACAGATACTTCAATTAAGGAATTATACAAAGTACTGTTCTTATGCAGTTACTTCCCTTGTTTTTTCTGCACAATTGTCTCAAAAACATTTTAACCGTCTTTATTCAATATGTTACAAGAATACTTTTAAATAAGTTAATTTAATTACTTTCTGTGTTTTACTTACAATCGAAGATATGAAGCCACAGAAATAATGTTTTCTTCATGTAATATATTCACTATTGGAACTGGTAAACAAATCTACAATAATAAGAACAATCTTTTAGTTTTACAACTATGTTCAATAAAAGGAGATGTGTTGTAAACATCAATGAGAAAGCAACCCAATGACAAATATCTTTTCTTGTTTAAAATATCCATGCCATACTGAAAATTATGCTTTCATACTGGCATACAAAATTATATGCCTGGTATCTTTGATAACTTATTTTACTTTAAGGGAATATTTGGAATATTGGACATCAATTTTAATAACTAATTATATGTATATATACATTCCATCTACATATACATGTGTTTCTGATTGTTTTTAAGGCAAACCAAAGTGGTTCGGTGGTTAGGTGGTGCTATAATTTTTTTAATTTTCATCCTGGTCTTTATAGTGATCACAAGTCAATAAAGATTTCATATCATAAATCTTATCTTCTTATTTAGCACATATTTCCAGTAAACAGGACCTTTTTATAAAGATTTGCAGAAAAAATATCTTAAAATTTCCTTCAGTAACGCTTTCATTCCTTTGACTATTTTTCTTGTAATAAGCTAAACCAACAAGTCCACATTTTTCAATCTAAATACCAGGGCTCGACATTACCGTTTGTCTGATTGTCCGGGACAAGTGGACACAGGCGTCCAGCAAGTAGATTCACCATACTACTTGTCCGATGGGACAAGTGAAAAATCGAGGTCAGATGTAATATAGATCAAATTCAAGACTTATACATTCCCAAAAATATGAATGATTGTTTTATTGATCATACTAAATGAAATAAATATTCATTGATTGAACCAGAGACATATAATACTTGTATAATATGTCTCTGATTGAACGTATTTGAACATGCTGGCAGCCATTGACAAGGGGAATATAAGGGGGAAAGAAACCAATGTTCATGCTTCTTTTTAGTGTGACGGGATTGCTTCCCTTAGAAATTTAGTAGATACTTTGTCAGCCGTAAGCGGTTGAGCTAAGGAAGTACTTCTTTAGCTCAGTCTGTTAACGCGCTGCCTTGTAACACAGAGGTCCCGGGCTCGAGTCCCGGTGGAGACATGCGATTTTGCAAGTAGAATCATGCTCTCCGGTTACATTGGCGCTCAACAATAAAAACCCACGGTTAGAAGAAATACCTAGCCAGGTTAAAACAGAAATATAAAAAAAGATGAAGATATCATCATTATAGAGTATAATGACTCTTGAGGTGGGGGAAGTGTGACGGGATTGCTTCCCTTAGAAATTTAGTAGATACTTAGTCAGCCGTAAGAGTTGAGCTAAAGAAGTACTTCTTTAGCTCAGTCGGTTAACACGCTGCCTTGTAACACAGAGGTCCCGGGTTCGAGTCCCGGTGGAGACATGCGATTTTGCGAGTAGAATCATGCTCTCCGGTTACATTAGTATAAGCCTCCTTGAATTAGGAGCACCTCCATATGGAGTTTTACCACAACTTTAAAATTTTAAATTAAAGTACGTTTCATTTGATTTCGCTTTTATGCATAACAATACATTAAAAGAGGTTTTATTTAATAAGATCTATATATAATCATTATAAGTGAAGTTGTAACAAGAGTGCACACGCTGAAATGTCTGGCCTTCTTTACTAATCATTGATATTATGTTGATAGTCCTAAATATAAAGCTTTATTACAACTGTCACATAAACTTAACATTAACCAAGTAAACTAAACATTGACCAATGAACCATGAAAATGAAGTCAAAGTCAGATGAACCATGCTAGGCAGGCATGTACAGCTAACAATTCTTCCATACAACAAATATAGTTGACCTATTGCTTATAGTTTAAGAAAAACAGACCAAAACACAAAAACTGAACACTTCAGCAATGAACCTTGAAAATGAGGTCAAGGTCAAACATAAAACCTGCGTGACTGACATATAGATCATAAAATATTTCCATACACCAAATATAGTTGAAATATTGCATATAGTATTAGAAAAAAAGACCAAAACTCAAAAACTTAACTTTGACCACTGAACCATGAAAATGAGGTCAAGGTCAGATGACACCTGCCAGCTAGAAATGTACACCTTACAATCATTCCATACACCAAATATAGTAGACCTATTGCATACAGTTTAAGAAAAATAGACCAAAACACAAAAACTTAACTATAACCTCTGAACCATGAAAATGAGGTCAAGGTCAGATGACACCTGCCAGTTGGACATGTACACCTTACAGTCCTTCCATACACCGAATATACTAGACCTATTGCTTATAGTATCTGAGATATGGACTTGACCACCAAAATTTAACCTTGTTCACTGATCCATGAAATGAGGTCGAGGTCAAGTGAAAACTGTCTGACAGGCGTGAGGACCTCACAAGGTACGCACATACCAAATATAGTTATCCTATTACTTATAATAAGAGAGAATTTAACATTACAAAAAATCTTAACTTTTTTTTCAAGTAGTCACTGAACCATGAAAATGAGGTCAAGGACTTTGGACATGTGACTGACAGAAACTTCGTTAAATGAGGCATCCATATACAAAGTATGAAGCATCCAGATCTTTCACCTTCTAAAATATAAAGCGTTTAAGAAGTAAGCTAACGCCGCCGCCACCGGATCACTTTCCCTATGTCGAGCTTTCTGCGACAAAAGTCGCAGGCTTGACAAAAATTAAATAAAATCTAAAAAGGCAGATTTTTTAGTGAAATGTTTTATGTACTTCATGATCATATATCAATGTATATACAAATCAAAATAAATTGTAAAAGCTTGTTTTGACACCATCAATAAATTAAAAAGGTTTAATCATATACAAGGGGGCCAGGTGTATTTACATCCTCGGTTTAACCCATACCACTACTACAGAAAAAATAGGTCCATAGGAGAACCTAGTGGTTTGGGAAGAAATGATGATTTAATGATCGACACATGATAGTGACATTGAGTCAGAGAACTCAGTCTTGCAAATAATCTTTCAGTCTGAAATGATAAAATGAATTTTGATGTGGTATTCATATATCATAAAAAAATGCTCCCTTTATTAGATACAATCAAAGCGCAAGTGTTGTTATTGCATATCATCAATATGTAAGATTTTCAATTATGAATAAATAATCAGAATTCGGAAAAGTGAGTTAAGAGTTCGGACAAGTTGATTTTCTTGCAACTTGTCCGAAGTTAGAAAAAATGATAATGTAGAGGCCTGAATACAATAAAATCAAAATAGCAGTTCATTTCAAATATTCTAAAACCGGATCCATTTTTGACTGTTGTATTACAATTTGATTAAAAAACGTTGTGTTTGGCTCTTTCTGTGCATTATACTTGATTCAAAAAGAGGGGGAATAAGGCAAAATTTAAACAAAGTACATTCAGAAACTATTTTCAAATTGATTCTTTAGATTCAGACAATATTCCATAATTACAAAAGTACAATGCTATAATGTATATAAAATATGCTTTATATCAAACTAAGTGATCAAAACCATTTCAGGTTTGTGACAGGAAACATATTTTTTTCTTGGCTGAACTCTGACAGGAATTTTTCAAATTATTTTCAGTTGGCTTGTAGGCAAATGAAAACCCTTCTTTTTAACATGTAAAAAAAATGAATAAAATCTGATGTCTTCCTTTATGTTTTTTCTTATCTAGATATTTTAAAATACCAGCTGTTTGACATAATATGAAACTTTTTAAGCTAAATCATTGCACTTATTTGCTGTATGAAGCTTTAAATGGTCAGAACATAATCTAGCTGTAAGTTATTCCATTGTCATAACTCACCAATCATAATTAATCAAGAATTAAAATAACATACCGGTTACACTGTAATTTCATCATTGATTGCATTGTTTCATCACATTACCACATTTTTATGTGCTATTTCCATTAAGACCCTGCTTATAAAAAAAAGATGTGGTACGGTTGCAAATGAGACAACTTCCACCATAGACCAAATGACATAGAAGTTAGCAACTATAGGTCACCGTATAGCCTTCAACAATGAGCAAAACCCATTACACAGTGGAATACACATATATAGGTTATTTTTCTTAAATTTCTTAAAAGGAAACAAGTTGAACATATCACAGAAATGCCTTCAGCTGGTTTAATTGGTACAACTTCTATTTTTATACATCAAATATTAATGTTATATTACCTCATTACATAATATATTCAGAAATCTTGGTCTGTTAAAATATTGTCCTTTCATCAGTTCTTTTACCACAGTGATATACATCTCTATAGACTCCTACAAAAATAGCATGTTCTTGTTAGAGTGCAGGGTTAAAAGTATATTGTAAGTAAGAAATATGTGCTTAACTTGAGAATATAAATGTTCCAACATAGATCAATGAAAACAATAACTCATGAGATACCTTATTTTAAAATTTATTCCATTCCAAACTGATTCAAACCATATTTATGTTGGCTGAATTTACTGATATGTCATATGAAGGCCTGGTAAAACCTCACCAGAGGTCACAATCAGTCTAGAGGCATGTGGAAATGCCATGTCCACTGGTTTTAAATTGATTGTGGTAACTGCAGTTACCACAATCCCAATATGGCGAAAGTAGAAATAGGTAAAATCGTTTTCTGCTAATTTCTCCGTGTATACCTGTTGTTTTCGAGAATTACTCAGCCGCCAGGTTAATCTGTACGGTTTTGTTGTGTGTGTGTTATTAATATCATATATGGCCTCGTTACCAAAATAATAGCCATCAAAAATTGTTGTAGGCAGATCATCGTAACTCCATGAAATCTGTTTGATATGATAATCGTAACTGGACTATCTGATAGTCTTAATTTGGACATGTATGACAATAGTAACTTATCAGTGATAATCGTAACTTTATCTGTTGATACTATCTGCCTCCACCATATTGGGATCATGGCAACTGCAGTTACCACAATCAGGTTAACACCAGTGATGTCCGACTTGTCTAACTTGTCTGGCTTGTCCAAAAATCTCCCAGACAAGTAAATTTGTCCTGGACAAGTAATTAATGTAAAAGCACTACCACTAGACATTAGTCAATAGAATGTCTGGGGAAGCATATCTTTGTATAGAGCTGTTCCATCAAAAAAATACATGGTACCCAGGGAAGGCACTTTCCCTAATGGGGTAACCACCTATAGAGGCAAATTTAGAAATTCAATTACATTTCCACTGCACTTGACACCCACCTATAGTAAATATTTCAAAGTGCCTTCCCGGGGTCCCATGTATGTTTTTATGGAACAGCCCATAGTACTTGTCCTTGGACAAATGAAGAATTTTGATATTTCCACACCCCCGTCTGATGATCTTAAATTATCAATCAGAGCAGTGCCTTAAATATTCCTCAAGATTAGATTTTCATACACAATTTTTACCTATTTTTTGTTTCCATGTGTCAAGTTACTAAGATGACCTCTAAAAAGACACCTGTAACAAACCTTTTTATAACACCAAGTTTGAATTTTTAATACATCATTAAAGAAGGGGGAATTAAAGTCAGTAAATATTTTTAGGTAGATATTGGCAATTAAACCATTTGTTAAATGCCTAAAAGATAAGACTACCGTTAAAAGGCTTGTATAGTCCGTGGTTTTATTCTCCAAAATTGAACCTGCCAGACAGGGTTGCAGGGTATAGAGTACAATAAGCAAGAAATAAGAGTAAAATTCGATTTTGCGAGGTGGTTTGTTTACGTTCAGCCATGTTTGTTATTGATATTGTAGAGGGCGCTCTTATCATTTTCAAAACTAATAATTTTACCTAATTAATATTAATTAAGAAATAATTCATGGGGGCTTGAATATATATCTTGATTTTACCAGGGGTTGGCCCTTTATGACAAATATTTTACCCTGAGCGATAGTGAAGGGTAAAATATCGGCATAAAGGGACAACCCGTGGTAAAATTACGATATATTCAAGCCCCCATGAATTATTTCGATTCTAATAGGACAAATACGGCAATTGTTTTGGATCGAAGCGCTCTAGATGAAGGCATTATTTGCCGTTCCCATAAATAAACGCACTATTAAATTGACGTAAAAGACCGGAGCAAACTGAATAAATGACATGCTTAAACTATTTACAATAACATATTTAGATAGGTTTGGATGAATCTAAATGATAATTGTACTTATGTCTTATATGTATACAAAAAATGGCTTATATGAAACAATTTAGCATCGTATGTTTACGTTTCCTTGTTGTAACGATTTTCGGTTTCACAAGCGTGTATTTTCCCGTAAAATGCTTATATTCTTACGTCATCGTACTATGACGTCGTGTAGCTCATTCATAAAAAAGCATATGACGCGGGAGTACGATCGGAACAGCCCAAACAATATATTCATATTTTACCACGGGTGTGTACTCAAAGCGTTTGAAGAACGTCATGTTAGAATAAGTTATTTTTATTCAATATCAAATTAATACTGATAAATTTAGAAATTAAATGCTTTATTACAAATTTCTCTTTTCTTTTCACAGCATTGCTTAAAATAAACTGGAGTCTGCTTGAATGAAACGGAACGAAAAAAGTATAAAAGTCAACCGTAAACCAGCTTACGATGTATAAACTACAAAACGTAATCGGTTATTATTCGTTCCGTTTTGGTGTTTCATACTGACGAATATGTTTTGTATTAGCTTAAGACCCTTCAAACATTAATGTAATAGACATATTAAACATTTTTTACACAAGGATGGAACTGTTTTACTTTCAAAGTCGTATTATAGTGATATCTATTAAGTACGGATTTCGACTCTCACCGTTTTAATTTTCTTTTACACGTGCTATTCAAACTTCCGGTTTAAACATACATAAGTTTCTAAATTGTTTTTTTGTGTGATTTTTTACTTATTTCAACAATTGTTAAGTGTTCTAGAATCATTTACAAGCAGTAACAACTTCTGTTTGATGATGGAAAACGGGTTTTTCCATGAAAATACCGCAAACTACCACACACGATTTGAAATTACTGGAGTTTCATTAAACATTTCCTAACAGTTACAAAAAGTTTTTTTACCTGAAATTTTGTGGGGAGAAGGGGGTGCGGACAATGTACCAGTGTGAACTATACAAGCCCGATTGCGGTAATGATTCAGGTATAAAACTGTAAGTTAAGTTGCACAAATAGACAAATAATTTTCTTGGGATTCAAACATATAAAACCTTACTAAAAATCTATTTTTCAAACTAAATGGTCATCTGAACAAGAACTCTTACTTGGAATGAAAGGTCTATCAGTAAAAACATAATCTGAACTACATAGCTTTGGATGAATGTGGCCAAGTTAGGTTAAAATTATATTATTTTTTTTTTTTGAAGTATACAGATGGATGAGAGCAACAGAAAAAAAACATTGACACCAAGAGATGGCAATGGCTTACATTATCCCTTGGGGCCAGATGTGCAAAAAAAAAAATGCTGGTATTAAAAAATGTTGATTTCATAAACAATTATGTAGCGTCTTTAATTAAAAAGAAGTTTCAAAAGTATAAATGAATTTCAGTAGCATTCTTATTCATTTATTTTTTCTGTGAATGTAACTTCCAATTCACTATAAATCTGTTAATTAATCATGTTAATAAATACCATTATGCTAGCATTATCTTCCCTTTGTTTACTTTTCATACTGTTTACCAGTTTCAGAAGTTCTGTAGCACATGTTTCAGCAGTCTGCAGAACTGTAGAACTACTTGTACTGTTTTGTACACATTCTTTTAAAATGCCTAAAATAAACAAACTATATAAACACATTCAAGTCAACAAACATATAAGATACAATAGAGAAAATATTGTATCATTTTTCAAATTAGAATATTTTATTGGAAAAAGCATAATCGATATAATGTATAATCTAAGTGAACAGCATACCAAATAACATATAATGTATACAATATGCATGAGGTGAAAAAATAAGTGCCGATCTGTTTAGCATTCACAAAGTTATTTGGCTTCAATAAATATGTAACTGAATTAATATCTTCATCATACATGTATAACAAGTTCTTAAAAAATACCAATCTTCTCTCAAAGGTTTTTATAAAGAGGGCAATATAAAAGAGCATGAACCTCTTCCTCTACTTTTTTCAGGTTGGTAAAAAAGGGGAAACAAACAATATTTTTATTAGGGCCAGATTTGTACTAAGTAAATCATTTGTTTCTATGAAAATGGTCAAACTATTTGGCAATAATGTAGTTAATAATTTACATAGGCAACTGGAAACGTATATGCCCGTCTGTAGTTTTTGCTACCAATAGGATCTCCAGATTTAATGAAAAGCTGCGCCATGAGCGCATGATACATCCGTCGCTTTTTCAAAGAATAAAGTTCCATAACTACTCAATGTCATATAAGAAATTTATAAAAAACTAAAGGGAAATTATTTTAATAAATATAAACCAGTCACCAAAGTTTCATAAAAACTGCATAAAGCATTTTTAAGTTATTGTCCGAAACTGGAAAATCCCCCTTTTTTAATGAATAAAACCCCACAACTTGGAAATGTAAAATCTAACATTTATAAAAATCAAAAGGGAGCTCACGCCAATAGATATAAACAATTCACCAAAGTTTCATGCAAATTGGTTAAAGCATTTTTTGAGGTATTGTACGACATGTTGACGACAGACAGACAGACGGACAACGGTATACCATTATATGTCACATAAATGGGCATATAATAGACGATTTATAGGAAAGATTTCATACTTGAGGGCTTTATAATACATGGCTAGGTGTTAAGACCAAGGATCCGGAAATTTTTCCACACAATTTCGGTCATTTTGAGATGATTGAAAAGTTGGTGCCCCTTTCCAAATTGTTGATGTCAACTTAACTAGATTCATAGCATCAACGAACTTGTATTGCTGTTTCATCGCATTTACTAAGTAAATGTCTTACCATTACCATGAAGAACAGTTAAGGGAAGGCAATAGTTTAAAATTGAAATGATTTTAATGACTCAAAATGGTAAATCTCTCAGAAATTGCTTACGTTTCTTTCGATTTGACAAAAGTTAAAACCGGAAGTTTGCGATAAAGTTAAAATACGAATAATTCCGGGTTCATTTCCGGGATTTGTTTTGTTTATCAAATTGACAGGAAATCATCGGCTTTTTTTTATTTTATTACCTTTAAAAGTGTTTGAATGTAACAGACAATAGTTGCACTCGTTTAATTTGGCATTACATTTGCATTTTACGATTAAATATTAAATTTGCTGAAGACAATTTCACGCATGCGTATTATATAGTAAATAAAGCACATGAAAAAAAATACTTTTTTCTCCGTAAATTTAGGTTTAATTTTTAAATCAGATTTGATGATTGTCTTTGCTGAAAAGTAATTAAATAATGAATACACTTGTCAGGGAATTTCAATTTTTGTTAAGATATTATTCTGATCTTGTGATCACTGTCAGGTGTGAATATTAAAACCACAGGTAAAAAGTGATTAGCGATCAATAGCCAATGTTTCCCGGAGGCATTGATATAGATATTAGGAGGGCCCTCAGGATTATCAAACTACTGGAGTGGCAGTTTTATTACAGGAAAGGGATTATAAACAAAAACAAGTGATTACAACTTACACAAGACAGTGCAAAATGGCGATTAAGGAATCCGATTTCAAACATTGAGTCAATGAAATGACCGAAATTACTTCTTTAAAAAAATAAAATTTGTCCTAAATCCCAATTTCTCGTTTAGGACAAATAGTTTCATCTTAGGACATGACTGGCATATATGACCGTTTCCGGACCCTTGGTTAAGACTATTTATTGTGGATACTTGATTTTCATGGTTTTAACAATTATAGGAAACTTGTATTTTTGATGAGCACTTACACATGGTTAAGTTTTACCCACGACATACAGGAAAAATTATTACCCACAAATAATAAAAAATCCACATTAGTGTTTTTATGCAGGATTTTGCATCAACTATAAGGTACACTTGAAGCTAAAAGTGTAGAAAGCAACATTCAAAATTATAAAAAAATAAATGGAGAATGTGTCTATGGGCCACAGATGCCGCCGCTTGTAAAAATGCATGAGTCAACTTCCACATACAGATGCAGGATTCACGTTATTAAGACTGTTTTGTGATTATAAGCATAAGTTTCATAACATTTGGTTGAGGCAAACTAAAGTTAGAGAAATGAAACGACAGATTTAGCAATTTTTCCAGGCATAACTCATGAACTGTAGAAGTGACGCCACCCAATTTCGAACTTGATCTGTGTTTTGTGGCAATTAGCATTGTGTATGAGTTTCATAACATTTGGTTGAGTCAAACTAAAGTTAGAGATGGTTGCCTCTCACTTCCTTGTTACGCATATTTCCCTGCAAGATTTTTATATTTCAAGGTTTTAGATTGTTACTTACTGGCTGCAATATTTTTATCTTCTTCACCTTGGATTTTGTCTGCCTTTGTAATACTAATACTACTAGCCTGAAATTATAGGCATCAATTATTCTAACATAATTCTAACATTAAAATTACTATCATCATTTGATTTATCATAAAATTTTATTGAGGTCCGACATCCTAGACAATCTCATACATATGTGTTACCTGTGCATTTTACCAATTTAACTGTTTCCAATTGGACCCCAGACCTTTAATTCTTACCGATTTAATTTTCATTTCATGTATTTTCATTTTCTTAATTAAATTTTTTTGGGCAGGAAGAATTATCAAGGAGCCAACTTCCTAATCCAGGCTAATGCCTAAATTTGTGTAATTTTCTCCTAGTATCAAAAGATTAACTGGTTACAATCTTTAAACTTTTTTCTGACGCAGTCTGTAATAATTTCGGTTTGTGACCTACTTTTAAAGGACGCTTAACTATGGTAACTGCATGCATGATGTCACTAATCTTTACTCTGACTGGACGAAATTACAGAATTGAACAAAAACCAACAAAAAAAGATATATGCTACAATAAAAGGAAAATGTTACGGACATAAAATCAAACTTAAAAATGAAATTATCCAGATAAGTAAAACTAAATTCAGGTAAAGAAGGTGTCATTATCACCACTGTCAAATGGTTTTGATTTTGTAGGCTAAGACTTTAATACATGAGTAGGTAAATATCACTGACAGGTTCATTAGATCTACAAGGTCAATTAGGCTATTAATAGCTCGAGTGCTATAAATATATCTTATCGACTTTGTGTACTAAAACTTCCAAGGCATTATTATAATCTCAAGGAGTACAAAATATTATACTTGAAATAAAGAATGTCAAAATACATATATCGCAAATTTAATTACTTGTCAAAAGCTGTATTATATAGATCATCTCCCTTTGGCATCCGTCCATCCCCTATATACACACCGAAATAGGTTGTCTCTATAATTGTTAAAGTTGTGCTTGACATATAGTTATAACTGACATTTTTTTCTGCTAAACAGTTTCAAGTTTGATATTTATTACAGATTGTAACCTACTTCTATCTTATGTTTATGTCTATTTCACATGTACAGCTAATTTAAACGTACTTCTTTATCTCTGGAAAATACCTATATATACATTTAGTTTAGTACCATGCAGTAAATATTTTAATTCTTTAGAGAAAAGTGCATATACCCATCTTTCAGAATCGTCAGCCTTTTGCCGTCAAATTTAATGCATTTTTTTCAACTATGATAAAAAAAAAAATTATAAAGATTCAGGGTTTGTTTTGAACTCTATGCTCACATCTGAATGCGTCAGATATCTTTTTTAAAGATAGTTCTTGTTTAGATTCAAGTGATAGCTTTTTCACAATGATTTTTTTGGGTCTCAACTGACACATGACCACACTTAGTTTCTAAGTAAGGAAGGCCATATCTTTTCTTCTTACTGGGTAGTTAGGAAATCAAACTCTGTACCTCTGACAAAAAATATTAAAATCTGTACCTCTGACAAAAAATATGAAACTCTGTACCTCTGACAAAAGAAATTAAACTTTGTACCTCTGACAAAATGACTTTCACATCTTGATGGTATGTCACTAATTGTAAAACAGCATCCTTCAGCACAGATTTACTTCCATCTGACCCTGTATGTTTTACTATATGTCTTGACTCTACAATCAAAAAATAAAACATGAACAGATATGAAATACATCCTACATGACTTCATTTTTCAGCACACAATTTTCAAGCAAACATAATACCATATTTTTTCATATGTGTATAGTTACAGGATAAGCTAGCAAATTTTGAATGCAAGCAAAAAGTTTGTTCACATTGAAAATACAATATTATATTCCAATATCTTATAGCTTCATCACTGCACGATGTACAAATCCAATAAAATATGTTTTTCCTAATTAACCCAATAGTCTGTTAATCATGAAAAGATTCCAAACTGACAGTATAATAGACTTGGGTCTCTAAAGAGCCTGTTTTGCTCACCTGCATTTTCAAAAATGGCCACTTTTTTTTATAGTAAAAATCACCATTAAAGGGTGATAACCCTATTAAGAGTTATTTGACAATTTCAGTCATGTGTACATATTTGTAGATCTTATCCTAATGATATTTTTTTCCTTTTTAAAGTTTCTATTTATCTATTAAAGTTTTAAAGATATCGGCAAAAAATGCTAAAAATTATCATTCAAGGGCAGTAACTCCAAAAATGTGTCAACTGAAAATTTGTAGTTTAGTTTCATATTTTTTATGTCGGGGCCTTTATAGTCGACTATACGGTATGGGTTTTTCTCATTGTTGAAGGCCACGCCATTGCCTATAATTGCTCGTCTCCTTATTTTAATCTTCATACATGGCCAGTATGTTTTAGAATAATACAAAATATTCAGTAAGCAGGAAGTTCATGAGGGATAAATCTGAAATGGCATCACAGTATAGCATGCTAACATGCCTGATAACAAATTTCTGAAAGATATTATTTGTAGTTCCCTACAAAACCTCGAGAAAAACCCATCATGTATAGTCGGCAGTAAACATGTTTGAAGGCGCTAACCCCCCCCCCCCCCCCCCCTCCCCCAACCTGGGACAGTGGTGATCAGTGGTGTAACAGAACAACATAAGAATAAACTATAAAAATCAGTTTAAAAGGGTTGAACTAATGGCCATTATGTTTAGAACTAAATATACAAGATAATAAGTATTCAGTAAGTCATGTAAGTAGGATAAATCTGAAAACTGGACACAAGGTATAAGATGCTGACATGAAGCCTGATAACAAATTTCAGGAAGATATTGAAATTTAGTGGACAGACAGACAGATAAGGGTAAAACAGTATACCCCCTCTATTGGAGCACTCAGCAGGGGTATAGCTATATTGGATCTAGGGTTATACTAATAAAGCCGATATCAAGATAGCAGACCAGTTTGCAAATGATGCACCAAAGTTGGCCTCATCCCTAAACCAGGTTTAATCCACCATTTTCTACAAAAGGAAATGCCTGTACCAAGTCAGGAATATGACAGTTATTTTCCATTGGTTAGATGTGTTTGAGCTTTTGATTTTGCCATTCTATGAAGGACTTTCCATTTTTAATTCCCTTGGAGTTCAGTATTTTTGTTATTTTCCTTTTTACCAATATGTCATAACAATGTCAGATCAGGGGTTCAAATTAGTGGTGGTCCGAGGTCCATGACCTTTCACTGTTGCAATCGGACTTTCGTTTTGGTTACAAGCTACGCCCGACGGACCTTAGATTTGAAAGAAAATAAACATTAAATTTGCCAACTTTTTTAACCATCAGTATCGTCATTTCAAAGCCATATTATTATTGAAATTGTCAGAGATAATAAAATGTTTCATCCCTGACCTTACCGACGAGTGATAAAAGTTATTTTTAACCATGTACTTCTTGGAAACACAAGGTTATGAATAGTTGTGATAAGTCACGTGAAAAATCATTTAGACATTTTCGAACAAAATGAGTCTGTTTCGCTTTGGTGTCACGTCTTCCAAGAGGAAGCCTGAAGATGATGAACGGTCTTCAACGTCTTCTTTGGGAACAAAACAAAAGAAATCAAAAACGAAGATCTCACTAAAGCCCAAAAATATGATTGTGAATAACGGGAATGGAAATTTAAGCCCAACTGGAAAATCGATCGATCATTTATCTTGTTTAAAGCAGTGGATCCATGAAAGTGACCCAAATTTTAAGTCTAAAGATTTATTGTCAGACACTAAACTTGGTAATATATTCTCAAGCAGCAATGTTAGCCTGGTCAGTTAAATAGATATTAGGTTCTCTTCAACACTGCATACAGTACATGTTGCAAAAAAAGGGAAACCCTTCAGTGACTATAAAATTGAGAATGGAAATGGGGAATGTGTCAAAGAGACAACAACCCGACCATAGAGCAGACAACAGCCGAAGGCCACCAATGGGTCTTCAATGCAGCGAGAAACTCCCGCACCCGGAGGCGTCCTTCAGCTGGCCCCTAAACAAATATGTATACTAGTTCAGTGATAATGGATGTCATACTAAACTCCAAATTATACACAAGAAACTAAAATTAAAAATGATACAAGACTAACAAAGGCCAGAGGCTCCTGACTTGGTACAGGCGCAAAAATGCGGCGGGGTTAAACATGTTTTTGGAGATCTCAACCCTCCCCATGCATTTATTCTTGAAATCCAGAGCAAAAATGGTAATGATGTTGGTAAGCATATATTGAATTGAATTTCAAATACATCATAGTTCTAGACTAAATCATAAACATATACAGTGAGAATCTAGAAATATGACAAGGACAAAAGATACAAGGCAAATACGCTTTTACATCAATAACAGATTATGATATAATTGTCAATGATTGAGAGAACACTCACCAGTCTCACCCACAGTGACACCCTCCCCAATACAAAACAAAAAGATTATTAGAATTCATAATATACAAGACAATTTAACATTTATTAGTATACATTTTATACCACAGTGACACTGAGTTTGGTGCTATATGGTTGCCTGGCAATATATTTGTAAACTTAACAAACATTACATGCAGTTCAAATATGATGAAACAAGCTGTCCTTACACCAAAAGCACATTAATTTTGCATCTTAATGAGTTACCAAATATTTCATGTAAAAGTAGGACCTTTGATTTAGGTTGTGGACCTTTCAGTTTGGAGTGTCAAAGGTCCTGGACCTTCCAGTACCAAATGTTAATTTGAACCCCTGCAGATATGCAGCCAAGATGTTAACATAATTAAAATGGCAGAGTAGGTGGATCATCAGTAAAAACTGGGAGACAACTTTTAAACTGGTACCTACTGTTTGGAAGGTTAAACCCCCAAATGGGAAATCCGAAAAATATTGTCTGAACTAAGAACACAATACAAGATGAAGAAGAAACCACAAACCATTTCAAAATCAATTGCCCAAGACACCACATTGGGGACAATGAACATTCTAACAGAATGAAATCAATAATGTCACCACCAAAATTTAATATATTTTTTATATATAATATTACAAATATAAGTTTAACAGTCTGAAAAGACCTGGTTGATGGATTTTAATTCTGAAAAACTCAATGTGGTTTATTATAATTCATTTATTATTTCTATCATAATCAGAAACACTGGGCTATATGTATTACTGGGCATTTCAAACATATATTATTGCCTTTATAAGAACATTCAAGACTATTAATAAGTATGTACCTGTAGTAAAAATACCCTGGTAGGGCCTTAAAATTTCTACTGGGCCCTTGGAAAAAAGTTTTGGGATCCAGGTTGGCCCCTGGGGATAATGTAAGGTATTGTTCCTGACTGTATTGCAGATTTATGTGTAGTATTTTAACTGACATGCACAATTCATTTCACTAATGAAATAAAAATAATTCTACAAAACGCCTCTGCGCTCTGCATTGCAACTTAACCTTAGACCTACCATGCATCAAAAATGTTCTAGGGAAGACTGAGCTAGTAATATACGTCCTTGCATGGTCCCTTTAATACTGTTACCCAAAATAAGGTTGATTTTCATCTAGCGTGAAAGTGACTAATCCCCTCAAAACTCCTAGTTGAAACCCCTGCAGTTAACATAAGACAATGTTTGACATGCCCTTTTTGAAATATCAATCATCGTGCTAAAGTGCCCTTTTCATGATTGTCTCCCTGCCCTTTTGAAATCCTAGCTGGAACACTGCAGTTGAACAGAGAATAAAATAACACAAGTTTGTGATGACATTTAAGTGCATCAAAAATGATGCCCTATCATATCTTACTAGCAAGTTTCATTATGTTTCAGACAGAAATCCATACTCATTGAGAAATGCTGTTCAAGGAAACCTCATACTCCCTAAACCAAAAATAGAATTGTTCAAGAAATCTTTTATGTATTCTGGACCATTCTTGTTGAATAATTTGCCAATATCGTTAAGAAATATTACAAACGTTAATTCTTTTAAATACAAAATAACAGATCATAAAATGATTTATTGAAATCAACCTGTTGAAAAAAATATATTGAATGTGGACTATTTCATCATGTTTATTTTTTCATAACATTTTTAACAAGTTGTATTGAACATTATCATCATACTTGACTTTTATACTAATGTATGCCATGCATATGTTTGCATTTTTGTTTATGCTTTTTCAATGATGAGGGCCTCATGGAAGATTAGTTATATAGATAATTATGTAACCCTCTTAAAATAAAGTATTGTTGTTGTTGTCCAGTTGACCTTTGTTGGATCAAAAACTATGTTGATATTCTGAGAAACATAAACTGGACATTCAATATTAGCCAGATCTCGAGCTATGGGGAAACATAAACTAGAAATGTAATATGAAGTATATGGTGGGACTAAATAATATTAAACACAGGTACAGAGAAGTCTAAAAATTTCCATACAGACACATCAATGAATTTTATACAGGTTTGTGGTTATGATTAATAATGTTCACCAAGCCTTCATTTTTTCATTATTTGATTACATGAGAAAATGATTTTATCATTACCAAATAAGTGCCAAACATTTCAAATATTCATGAATCATTACATTATCACACAACATTACTGGTTATAACCCCTTTAAAATTTCCTCCTCTTTAGACCATTAAAAAAAGCTGCATTTCAAAGTATATTTGTTCCGCCTTACAGAAGTTCACCTGGAAACTTTGTTATAAACATTGCCATTAATCTGTTCTTGTTGGAACAAATATTCTATACCATTTATTCTGTGAGGAACAAGTTCGGTAATATTTATTCCAGTGGAAATAATATTACTACAGAATATTTCTTATATTTGGAACTTATATTTTGAAGGAACTTTTATTTCATGACATGCATAGCTATGAAACTGGAAATAGCCCAACTGTAATCTTAGGGTTCATATGAGACCATATTACTCTAACTCACAAGATATATTAGTCATAGGGTTCATCATTATGAATTATAATAGTCTGAGGCTAAACTCATACACCTTATCGCTTTTGTCTGCCACTACTGGATATCACAAAGGTTCCTGTAAAATTTTGATGCCACAACAGAAAATGTCTACCGCCACAAAGGAAAATGATTGTTGTATGATGTCAAAAGTTCAAGTGATGCAAATTTTCAGGTCATAACTGTCATAAATGCATGATATTTGTCCAAATTATCTACTTATAGTTGATTTCCTTCAAAAGCTTTATTTATAGACGAGATCATTATACAGAAAACATATAAGCTCTATTGAGCTTTTATATCGTCTTATTACAAACAAAACAAAACGTGTTTTTTTGAAAAGTACAGGATCCCTTAAGGTTCCTCTTCACCAGACTCGTAATTTAAGTTTTTTCTAGTACTATTTTGTCCGTGACTTCGGAATATTTCTGTTCTATAGTCATAATAATCAGACATATATACACATGTGTAAATATGTCTCTGTTATAATTATATAGCTCTTTGTCGGACCAATATTTATCTAGTTGGTTTTTAAAGGCATTAATGGATGGGGCCTTTGTTATTTTATCTGGTAGTTTATTCCAGGTTTAAGCAATTCTAACAGAGAATGAGTGTTTACCAATATTAGATTGGAATCTTTGGTGAATGACTTTAATTGTAAATGTAATTACTGTTTGTCCTGCTACTATATCTTTGCTGAGAATCATCTGCCATTTTTAGAAATGATCTCTCCATGAATTAGCATAATCATGATAACGATATATTTTAAAAAAAAAACTTGATTAGGATATGTTTTCTTGTTATTCAAAATATTTTTAAAAAAAAGGGGGGGGATAGTTGGATGACTCAACTGCTCACCACCACCACAACAAAATCATCGATGGAATACACGAGATTCTATTTTCGACTTGATATTTGCTTTCGACATCAAATTTTATGGGGAAAAGCACGAGTTTAAAGATCATGATAACTCACTCACTCACACTCGACCGGGAGCGTCTTTTTACCACAGAACACCACAGAATACCACAGAACACCCAAAATTTACCACAGAACTTCGAAATATTAATACATCAGACATTATTATCGTGTTATTGTTCATTCTTTTTATAATTTGACATTTATTATTCAAATAAAATTTAATTTTTCTATTTAGGGTCGACTCACTATCGCTACGCCCCCAACTGAATGGCCAATAATTGGGATCATACCGAAAACCCCTAGCAATTAAAATCATAATATACAAAGATAATTTATATTTTAAATACATTTTAATCTTTTTTGTAATTTTTAATTCATTTTTGAAAAATATTTAGATGCATTACGTAATTATTTGTTAAATTTATTTTGTTTATCAGTTTTTTTTTTTTGTCACTTTTTTATTAATTTTTATGTAAGAGTTGTTACAATAAATAATCAAAATGGTTAATGTGACATTTATTTAAAGTTGTTGCCAACAAATAATTAAACTTTATTAAAGTGATTAAAGTAATTTGTTAAGCTGATATCTAAGAGTTGTTTCAAACAATCATTTAAACTTGGGTATAATGCTTGTACATCAAAGTTTTCTCCATTAGAGTTATATATAAAACAATCCTGTGCTAAGGGCTACCAAATACTTTCAAAAAGATATCTGAAGTTGTTGTAGGACAGTAATATTTGAGTTGACTTATAACATATTATAAGTGTGTCTTTTAAATTGTCAAAAGTTCAAGTCCGATGACTGTTTATTGGATTCTTATGTTTTGTGTGTATCTTCTCCAATCATTTGACAATGTTTCAGATTTTTACCAAATTTTATATGCATTTAGAAATCGTTGAACTGAAACTTTATATCGCAAAAACTGGTATATGTAGCATTTACATATAGATTCTATATTTTTGAGTCCAAAATTTATGTTGACCTTAGAAAGTTCACAGACACAATTTAAGTACCAAAATTTAATTAGATTAACCAATTTTGACACTTGTCGTAATCACCAATCAAGCCAATTAACATGTCATTCAAGGTTTCACACCGGAGACATCAAATACATTTAATTGAATTACCTTATAAATGTATAAAATCAGGTGGCAACTAAAATCCAAAAAATGAAGAATTTTGTAAATATTCCATTATTAATGATATATATATATTATATTAAATAGAATGTTCATAGCAGTCTTCCTGTTCAAATTATTGTCATTTAATTTCAAGAATACAATTTTTTTAATAATAAAGATTCAAGATTAAAATGTGACTGTGAAAACCGTGTGGTAATTAATTGTTTTGCTCTAAACTATTTTCTTAAATGTTTTTTTTTATATATTTTCATTATTACAATGCATTAGTTTAGTGTCTCAAAGGTCTCCAAATGTAAAAAAATATGCCAAATAACAAAAAATCATGATAATTTTTATCTCATCCAGTCAATCGTCATGTCATTGATGTAACCGAATTTAAGAAATAATATAATTATGAATTATTAGATTTGCGTTTTATAAAGTAATTTTAATGTTTTGTGGTATATTTCAGTAGTTTTATTGTAATTTGTGTAGTTCTGTGGTATATTTTAGGTGTTCTGTGGTATTCTGTGGTGTTCTGTGGTAAAAAGACGCTCCGCACTCGACCCCCTTCCCCCTTGTTCCACATCCCAACTTTGAATGAGTTACATCGGTTGACCCCTATAGTCCAAATAATTATGACGTCTTGCAAGGCTATTTTAATTTTTTTCTGTGACGCCTTCCTACGACGTCATAACGCTGAAGCCATTTTTTACTTCTGGACTTTGAGAATTTTGGGGGGAACTTTGAGACCCAATTTTGGCGTCACAGAAAAAAATTAAAATAGCCTTGCAAGACGTCATAATTATTTGGACTAGTTGACCCCGTGATCCTTCGGGTTAAATGTCATTGAATAATCGACTTAATTAATAATATCATAAACATTGTGACATAGGAAATGTACGGGGAAATGCCCAAAATTGAAAGTAATCTTTAAACCAGTCACGTCAGGTAAAGACATTTGGTCCAATGGCAAAAATCTTACTGGTAAGTTTAGAAAAATTACGGGACATAATTTTGTTCTCCTGTGATAATATATTTCCCGCTAAAATTTTGGTAGATTTTGATTGGGCGAAAATTGTTGTAGCCGGCGCTCTCTAGACATCTCGGCCACACAACAGTCTATCGGTCCATGGAAGTATTATATTGAGATATTTGTCAATGTGATACTTCCATGCTAATACTGAATACATTTATCAGTTAACAAAATAAGTTGCACAAAAATTGTTTAATGTAATAAGTTAACAATACCTACCAACCAAATAATTAATACACTCTTCTACAAGTTCTATAGCTATTATCAGAGACAAACAAGTCTAAATTGAAAACAACGTTCAAACCTATGATTGCGTTGGATAAAACGCGCAATTTTTATACGTGTGCATGCAAAACAAATTTCTTGGTAGAGGGGTCCAAATTCAGCACAAACAACATTTTCCAAAAGACCAAACTGAAGTGAAAAAAGTATATTTTAACAAAACGCATTTGACTAGCAGGTCGAACAACAGATGTTCTTAAACCCTGCTGACTGCCATTGGCGATTGCCAAATAAACGGATCACCAGATGTAACAAAATGGATCTTAACTATTAATTTAATACCTAACAGAAAACAATAAACTTGCGGAAAAGATGATATACCGCAAACAAAAGGTGCAAAAATTAGTACACCATATCCGGATTTCGACAATTAATGTCTCTTCAGTGATGTTAGGAATCGAAATGGTGTTTGGAAGGCCATATAATTTACCTAAATTTAAGATAGACTCTTGAATTTTGAAGAGTCGAAATAGGATGAACGGATCATATAAACCCGAAGGCAAATATAATACAAGCCCAAACGAAAAAGTATAAACAAGTCTAAATTGAAAACAACGTTCACTATGATTGCGTTGGATAAAAACCGCAATTTTTATACGTGTGCACGCAAAACAAATTTCTTGGTAGAGGGGTCCAAATTCAGCACAAACAACATTTTCCTAAAGACCAAAAAAGTGAAAAAGTATATTCTAACAAAACGCATTTGACTAGCAGGTCGAACAACGGATGTTCTTAAACCCTGCTGACTGCCATTGGCGATTGCCAAATAAACGGATCACCAGATGTAACAAAATGGATCTTAACTATTAATTTAATACCAAACAGAAAACAATAAACTTGCGGAATAGATGATTAATGTCTCTTCAGTGATGTTAGGGATCGAAACGGTATTTGGAAGGCCATATAATTTACCTCAATTTAAGATAGATCATCAGAGACATGTATACACATATATGTCTCTGCTATTATTGATCATTAAATTATATATGTTAATTATAACCATCCAAAAACCATTGTTGAAATTAATATACTAGTACCAAAAAATTGTGTAATTTTAAGTTATCACTACTAAATTTGTGATGAATGTAACTGGGAGATTGGCTATTGGAATGACGATGATAACTTGACGAGATGCAACAGACCGGTTGCAGAGATTGGCGGTGCCAACGATAGACAATGACTTGGACCAATAGTCACTTGCCTGAGAACACTCGCTACAACTCCACTGGTAGAATTAGACACAATTCCTATACAATTGTTAACAATTTAATGATTTCAGAATGGAATAGCATGTATTTTTACAAATTGGGTGCATGTTGTCCCACAGGCACTTGTCCCTGAAAAAAAACCCTATATACCTTAATATAACCAGAGACATATAATACATGATACACGTGTTATATTAAGGAATATAGGGGGTTCAAAGACAAGTGCATGTGTGTTGTCCGTACGACTGTGACTCTCATTGAAGTAAGAACTTCAGAAAACATATTTAAATTAAAAAAATGCGCTCCGCCAGGAACAGCTGGATACGACCGCAGAGGTCGAACTCTGAACAGTTGGGCCAAGTATGGACACAATATTAAAGCTTGATACAGCTCTGAATTTGGATAGTGGTTAAATATTTGACACATTATAGATTTCTGACACAGAATAAATGTGGTCAGATAACTTAAAAATTTGAAATGGGACATTTAATCTACTTAATGGTCCAATATCCAAAATCTAATTCCATGGTTAGATTCAGCATATAAAAAACATGAATTCAATCAAAGTTTAATTTTGGACCCTTTAGACCTTAATATGGACTAATTTGAAAATAGGACCAAAAATTAAAAATCTGAATGCACAGTTAGATTCAGCATATCATAGAACCACAAGAATTCAGTTTTTGATGAAATCAAACAAAGTCTAATTTTTGACCCTTTGGACCTCAATTTAGACTTTTTTCAAAATATCAAATATAGTAATACATGGTAAAAACCTCAAACAATTCAAGGCTTTAAAGTAATCCTCATTGAAATTGGTTAAAAGATTTGTATTCATTTTCAATTGAAGATTTCTTGCTGTTGTGCAATACTTAGTAAATCTGTTTACAAACTAAATATAATAATTTACACACCCTGTTTGGTGTGTATCTCCTGCCATATCAGTATTTGTTGTTTCTTTATATAGGTCAGAAATAATTTATGTTAAAACCAGCTTAGCCAGTATAAGAAAAGTCTTGTTTTTGGCCCCTATTTGACCTCTAATTTCTTAACGATTTAAGCCACAACCCACAAAATCGACACCAACCTTCTGTGTGTGGTATGAAACCTTATGGTTCAATTTCATAGATATCTATTGACTAAAACTTAAGTATTTGTCAGGAAACCAGAAAAACCTTGTCCCCCCTGTTTGCCTCTTATTCCTGAACGGTTTGATTCATAACCCCCAAAGTCAAACCCAACCTTCCCTTTGTGGTATGAAATCTTGTGTTTCAATTTCGTAGAGATCCATGGACTAATACATGTACTTAAGTAATTGTCCATTAACCAGAAAAACCTTGTTTTCCACCTTTTTTCCCCCCTAAATCCTGAACGGTTTGGGCCATAACCCCAAAGTCAATCCCAACCTTCCCTTTGTAGTATGGAACCTTGTGGTACAATTTCATAGAGATCCATACCCTTATACAAATTATTGTCCGGAAACTAGAAAAATGCCTTTTTTGGCCCCTTTTTAACCCCTTATTCCTAAACAGTTGGGACCATAACCCCCAAAATCAATCCCAACCTTCCTTTTGTGCTATTGACCCTTGTGGTTAAATTTCATAGAGATCCATTCACTTATACTAAAGTTGTTGTTCGGAAACCAAATGTCTTTGGACGACGACGACGACATGATAGCAATATACGAACGAAAATTTTTTGCGGTAGTATAAAAATTGCTGAGTTGCAATTTCATAATAGAAACGAGGTTGTCGATTGACAATTAAATAAACAAGTATCACTTAAGTGATTAACAAAAGAAGATAACACATATCTGTCCTTTGGTTTTAGGCTGATTATATATATATACAAATTTTTGCACCTCATGTTTGTGGTATACCATCTTTCCACAAGTTTATTGTTTTCTGTTTGGTATTAGATTAAAATTAAGATCCATTTTGTTAGATCTGGTGATCAATTTATTTGGCAATCGCCAATGGCAGTCAGCAGGGTTTAAGAACATCAGTTGTTCGACCTGTTAGTCAAATGCGTTTTGTTAAAATAGACTTTTTCACTTTTTTTGGTCTTTTGGAAATTGTTGTTTGTGTTGTATTTAGACCCCTCTACCAAGAAATTTGTTTTACATGCACACGTATAAAAATTGCGGTTTTTATCCAACGCAATCATAGGTTTGAACGTTGTTTTCAATTTAGACTTTTATATATTTTTTTGTTTGGGCTTGTATTATATTTTCCTTCGGGTTTATATGATCCGTTCATCCTATTTCGACTCTTTAAAATTCAAGAGTCTATCCTAAATTGAGGTAAATTATATGGCCTTCCAAATACCGTTTCGATCCCTAACATCACTGAAGAGACATTAATTGTCGAAATCCGGATATGGTGTACAAATTTTTGCACCTCATTTTTGTGGTATACCATCTTTCCACAAGTTTATTGTTTTCTGTTTGGTATTAGATTAAAATTAAGATCCATTTTGTTAGATCTGGTGATCAATTTATTTGGCAATCGCCAATGGCAGTCAGCAGGGTTTAAGAACATCAGTTGTTCGACCTGTTAGTCAAATGCGTTTTGTTAAAATAGACTTTTTCACTTTTTTTGGTCTTTAGGAAATTGTAGTTTGTGCTGTATTTATATATATATATATAAATATATATATATATATATATATATATATAAGTCTAAATTGAAAACAACGTTCAAACCTATGATTGCGTTGGATAAAAACCGCAATTTTTATACGTGTGCATGCAAAACAAATCTCTTGTTAGAGGGGTCTAAATACAGCACAAACAACATTTTCCAAAAGACCAAAATAGTGAAAAAGTATATTTTAACAAAACGCATTTGACTAACAGGTCGAACAACAAATGTTCTTAAACCCTGCTGACTGCCATTGGCGATTGCCAAATAAACGGATCACCGATGTAATAAATGGATCTTAATTTTAAATTTAATACTAAACAGAAAACAATAAACTTGCGGAAAAGATGATATACCGCAAACAAAAGGTGCAAAGGTTTTTGTACACCATATCCGGATTTCGACAAATAATGTCTCTTCAGTGATGTTAGGAATCGAAACGGTATTTGGAAAGCCATACAATTTACCTCAATTTAGGATAGACTCTTGAATTTTGAGGAGTCAAAATAGGATGAACGGATCATATAAACCCGAAGGCAAATATAATACAAGCCTAAACGAAAAAATATAAATAAGTCTAAATTGAAAACAACGTTCAAACCTATGATTGCGTTGGATAAAAACCGCAATTTTTATACGTGTGCATGCAAAAAAAATTTCTTGTTAGAGGTCTAAATACAGCACAAACAACATTTTCCAAAAGACCAAAAAAGTGAAAAAGTATATTTTAACAAAACGCATTTGACTAACAGGTCGAACAACAAATGTTCTTAAACCCTGCTGACTGCCATTGGCGATTGCCAAATAAACGGATCACCGATGTAATAAATGGATCTTAATTTTAAATTTAATACTAAACAGAAAA